TGTTCTGGATGTTCATACCAGTTGTTAAACAAGGAAATATTTTTGTAAGTAGCAGCACTCTTCTTTCCCACTGCCACCCCAGTGCCACCATTGTCCTGGATCTCTATGTCCCTCCATCAGAAATTCCCAACTCTTTTCCTCTCAATTTTCCTAGGATCCAACACCTGAAGAATTAAAATCTGGATTCCCTGGGACACTGCTACAGAACTCTGGCTAGAGCCATTCTGATGGTTCAACATCCTTGTTGACCAGTTGTGCATATTTTGACTGTCACCACTGCACTTGAAGTGTGTGGTGTATGTCTGTTGAGAGTTCACTTGTATGGCCGTGTGACCGACATGATGGTTAGGAAAGGAAGGAAGCACATCACTAGAAAGGAAACAGTGAGAGGGAGAAGAAGCTCTATTTATTCTTGAATTCGATAGCTGGCGAATTCAGCTGGATGTAGAGAAGGGGAGTGATGGATGATAAAAGAACTCCAAGCTCCAGCCAGCCTGTCATGGTAACAATTTGGCATTGAGAATGTGGGAAGGGAAAGTCCATCTTAACGCTGTGGAGTTTGGACTATGTATTGGAGGTCAGTAGTAAATGCTGAACATGTGGGATGACATGATGAAAGTAGCATTTTTTTTTTTTTTAGATGAAAAATCTGGCAGGAGTATGCAGGATGAAAGGAAAGAGAGAATCATTAGCAGGGCAGATTCCAGATGTCAGTTAACCATCATGAATAATCCTGTGGGCATGAAACCATCAACTATGAATTTTCATGCAATAGGATGTAGGGGGAAATGGACGTTGACTATGGTATGAGGAATAAAACTGGGTGGAATAGTTGAAATTGATTCTCAAGAGATCTGGACCATCTGGTCACCATGTTCTCAGGAAGAGTGCAGAGAAGCTTAGTGGCCACAAAGAGGCTCTGTGAAGGGCAGGGAAAATCACATTGCTTTGTCAAGGTAGTAGGATGGATAAAGATTGCCTCCAAATCACTCCATTATCTGTCTCTCTGATGTATAGTTGACATAAATAATTCAGAGAGAGAGAGAGACTGATAGAGAGACATAGCTTAGACTTATTGTTTGACTTACTTGCTTTTCCTCCTTCTAATTCAATTCTAGATCAGCCACCAACCAAATTTTGGCAGCCCAGAATTTGTCCCTAACATGCATTTCACAGTTCCAGGGGACACCAGGTGGCATTCTGCAGTGTACACCCAGTGTCATTTTGGATGATTGCCTTGGTGAACCAATTCAGGCCCTAAATTTAATTGTTATGTAGTTATTTTCTCCTATCCAACAATCACCCCTTTCATGATCATATCTTAAAATCAGAAGAAAATATTCACATTAATAATATTCTTAAAATTTTCATTTGCTGTGCAAAAAATACTTTTATGTACATTAACTCATTTAATCCTCATAAAATATCCTATAATTATTAGGTAAATGGGTGGTACTATTAGGAGGTAGTGGAGCCTTTAAATGGTAGGGTTTAGTTATATCAAGTTACATCATTGGTCATTAGGGTTGTGCCCTTGAAGAGAATATTGAAAACCTGGCTCCTTCCTGTCTCTCTCTAGTTCCCAGGTATCATGAAGGGAACAGGCCTCCTTCCTGACATAAGGTTCTGAGCTACCACAGACCAAAGCAACTGGATGAAACAACCATGGACTGAAATCTATGGAACTATGAATTTACAAAAACCCTTTCCTCTTTTTAAGTTGATTATCTCAGGTATTTTGTCACAGAGATGGGAAGCTGAATAATACATTTATACATGAGGAAACTGAGAAACTGACCTTCAGAAAGCTAAAAGGAAATATAATCAGCAGTGACGTGTTCATGAGCACCTGGTATGTGTCAAACTCATTACATATCCCATGTTCACAGAACTAGTAAGGGTCAAAGTGAAGACTGACTTTGGTTCTCCTGGAGATTTTGAGATATTATAATTTCCATCACAAGTCAACCTATCAGCTGTGTTTATCCACCCAAGAAAACTTTGAGTATTGGCACCAAAATTAGAGTTCTATTCTTTAAAAGGTTGAAAAACAGCCCAGGCCAACATCCCAAAAGGCAACAGTGTTTCCATTCCAATTCATATAGTCACAAAATGATAAGATCTGAAGGGCACATTTTTGTTTTATCTTCACTGGGAATGAAGCTTGTTTTTATTTATAATTTCCCTGGAGGAGTTAGAGGGATAAATTAACACTGGCTTCATATATCAGACATGGTCCAACTGCCCCACGCTGATATTTTGTTATTAAAATGACTCTTGTGTGTGAGATCATTCTATCTTGTTACATTGCACACCAGGACAAGCTGCTTAGAACAAATGAAAATGAATAATTAATGCAGGAGAAAAGAATATTCCTTTTAAGTTCCCAGATATACTAGTCTTGTTTTTTTTGGTTTTGTTTTGTTTGTTTTTTTTTTTGTTTGTTTGTTTTTGTTTTTTCCCCTGGATTCTCCTTACTTCCTTTTCTGCTCTTTTGTGTCATTTTGAACCATTCACCCTCACAGTTTATTCCTTCCTCTCCATTTCAGAGTAGCTGAAGTGGTGACCCCGTTACAGGCAAGGAGCCAGTGCTCTCTGAAGGAGATGGCATGGGGGACTAGAACAGATATTGTTCTTTTTTTCGGAAAAGGGCACCATGGACTCCTAGAGATACCTCACTTTCTATCAGTGGGCCCGCTAATCAGGTTGGTAACTGGAAGGCCCTTAACTTCCCAGGAGAGAGACAGGATGGGGAGAGCCGGGTATCCAATAGAACCTTCCCACTGGAGTGACCATTTGTGGTCATTCTTTGCTTTAGTGCACTGGTAAGTCCAGCCTTGTTACTCAAAGTGTAGTTCAAATCCAGCATCATCAGCGTCAGCTGGGAACTTTAGGTATGCAGAATCTTCACTCTGTATCCACAAAATCAGAATGTATATTATAACAAGATATCCAGCCGAATTGTGTGGACTTTCAAGTTCCAGAAGCCTTGTTCTCCAGGATGTCTTCCTGTCTAGAAACATGTCTTTTCCCCTTTCTTGTAACTATGTGCACATTTCAAGGGAAATCAAGAGAGGCCACATACTATAAGATAAATATTAGTGAAGCTGTGTTCTTATATGTAACTTGGCTGGATAAGACCAACTAGAAAACAAATCTAACTTAGAACAAAACATTGAGTTGTTTTGCTTGTTATGTTTTTGACATTCTGAATACATGAGTGACTTTGTTGTAACCATTTGTTACCTCTTTTCAAGTACTGTTCAAGACAGGGAAACAAACAGAAACAATTTTCGCAAACTCCAACCCCAATCTTGCTTCTTGGCAATTTCTAGAACACCTCATGTAGCCCCAGGTGGAAACAATCTACACATTCTCAAATCAAACACAATGATAAGCCGAGCAATGGCACAGCCAGTTACTCCGGAGTCTGAGGCAGGAGGATCACAAGTTTGAGGCCAGCTTCAGCAACTTAGTGAGGCCTGTCTCAAAATAAAAAGGGCTGAGAATGTAGCTCAGAGGTTGGGTTCTCCTGGGTTCAACCTCTTGTTCACAAAAATCAAAACCCACAAATAAAAACAAAGACATTTAAGAAAAATATTTTCTTCTAATGTTTCTTTAACTGTTTTCACTGTAGTTTTGCAGGCTTTCTTAAAAACTGAACTTCCTGCTGGTCTTGGTGTTGCACATCTGTAAACCCAGTGGCTTGGGAGGCTGAGGCAGAAGGATTGCAAGTTCAAAGTTAGCCTCAAGAATGGCAAGGTGCTAAGTAACTCAGTGAGACCCTGTCTCTAAATAAAATACAAAATAGGGTTGGGGATGTGGCTCAGAGGTCAAGTGGCCCTGAGTTCAATTCTTGGTACCAAAACAAAAAACAAAAAAACTGAACTTCCTGAAAAGCTGTGTTGATTCATTTGGATGCTTTGCTTGATTGTCTATCGGAGTATTTGGTGATAGCAATAAGTACTTAATATTTCTATTTTCCCAAACTTTCAGGACTATATTCTCTTTAAATCTCATGACCCTTAAGATTCTTTGAACAATGATCTTTAAACTCAAACCAAATAGTTGAGTTTATGCTAGCATCAATCATGCTATGAGAATTCTGTCATAGCAGACTTCAGTTTGCAATTAGATACATAAAGCAGAAAATCTCAGCAGTACTCTCAGATTTCCTTAAAATAATATTAATATAATGTTGAATTTTCCTGCTAGATAAATGGCCTTGAATATTTATTTCTGAACCTTCTGTTCATGAGCAAAACACTGTGTTATTCCCTTTTATAGCATTTTTATTTATTTATTGCTGGTCAGTTTTGTTTTTATTGCTTTCTCTTTATCCTCTCCCTCAGAATGATTCTGCAGGAAAAGGGGATTAGGGTCAGGAAAAGGTGTGGGTCAGGGCAGGCTAATCTCCTCAATAACAGTTCAAAGTGCATTAAAGACAGATCCCAAAAGCATCAAGGAGGGCTGAGAGGTCTACCTTATGCAGGATTCTGGCACCCTGCAGGGGTAACAAATGCCTAGTCCCCTCATTATACAAAACTATTCATTTCCTAGATTATTTTTTTTAAAATCAAGCTCATCAAACCTGTGCTTCAACACCTTAGGGAAAAAGAAGCCCCACCTGTGATAAAGACTGGGCCTCCACAGCACCAGAAGCGGACTTTCCCCCAGAATGAAGCCATTCCTGTGGGGCTCCGCTGAGGAAGGGCACTCAGCATAGGGCCCAGAGGGGAATGTGCTTAGCAGGAGGAGAGAGGCTGGTCAGCTCACCCCACAACAGAAGTAGCTCCTTGCTGGACAGGAAGGGAGATGGATCTGGTAGTGCTCAACAGTCAGGGCCAGGGAACGGGCCCTTCCCAGCCCAGGCCCCTTGATTTCACAAGAAGGGCCTGTCATGTTTCTGAGTGCTGGAGCAGACAACCAGGCAGTTGCAGTGTGGGGCTGCAGAGGGCAGGAGACAGGGCTTCCTGTGCCCCATCTCCTTGAAGGTCTTATCAGTCACGATGTGCAGATTGGTGGTCGAGCTGCCGGTCATCGTGGGTGCTATAGCGCTTGACGTGGATGCGGCGCACACGATCCCGCAGTTCATAGGCTTCCTCATCTTCACTGGGGGAAGCCTGGCTGCGGCTCCGGCTCGTGGCCTCCAACAAGGAGTTGTCAGGGACTTGGGGGGTCTCATAGAGTAGGACATTGAGTGTCTCCTCATAGATTCGGGCCTCTGGAAATTCCACCTTGGTCTGCTTCTTCTCTGTGGCATACACGATGGAGGTGCAGCACACCTCTGCCAGCTTAGGACCCTGGCCATAGAAGGACCAGCAGCAGATCTCGTCACTGATGACATCCTTGATGAAGAGCACGCGGCCATTGAAGCGCAAGGACAGCTTGTCAAACAGCTGTATGTTTTTCAGCAGGTGGTCATCAGAGTTGCTGGTGTAGGAATACTTGTTGTTGCTTCTATTGGACAGCAGCTTCACCATGGGCTTGGTGGAAGATTTGATGAGCCTGTCCTCCTCCCTCAGGGATGTGATGATGGGGATGTTGGACACAGGCTGGTAGGAGTCCTTCTTGTCCTGCAGGGCAGTCTGGCACATGTTCACCAGGCCCTGAATGAGGTAATATTTTTCTTCAGCCATCAATTCTTTGATTTCTTGCCGGTTTTGAGGGAGGGTAATAGGGTCATCTCGGAGGTAATTCAAAATGGTGCCAAAGTGCTTTCCACATCGGTTTATGGGGATCCAGCCTTCTTTGTCGATCAGCACCTCCATGCGCCCACTGAACATGGCCTTGAGATGGTGTCACGCCGGGTGAGTGCCCGCACCATGGTGTAGTACAGGGAGCCAACTATATTGAGCTGCACGTACTTGTTGTCCAGCCCTCCTCCCTTGAAGCCACTTAGCTTGGGCTTGGCACCTGAGGCTGGGCATAGACATGTGTCTCCCCCCGCCCCATCTCCCGCTGCAGGTAGATCAACACACAGCAGGAGGTAGGCTTGGAAGGCTCTGCAGTGGTGGAAGTGTTCACAAGGGAGTGTTCTGGGGAGGCCAGAGCCTCATACTCTCAGGGGCTCTCAGCTGAATGGCAAGCTGACTCCTTGCCGCCCCTAACCTGTAGCCGCCTGCCCAACAGCAATCCTGGGCTGGGAGCTCACATCCTGCTCCAGCAGACTCCTCCCGGTGCAGCCGCTCATCCCTGCCTATCTGAGCATTTTTAAAGACAATATGTCATTCTCTATATAGTTCAATACAACAGACTTTTCTGACTGGTCAGTTATGTTTATATGATAAATCAGTGACTAAGGCAAGATTCATTAAGATAAAATCCTTCATTCTGTAACTTTATCATTATTTTGTTTAGATTTATTTATAGGTGACTGATCTATATTACAATATTTTATTTGCTTATAAAAACTCACTTACACATGTGAATATGAAAACCTGTACAGGGGACTACAACACTGGGCTCACAGCATTTGACTCCTTGCTGATATTTAATCAATATATAGCAACCAGTAGGTATAGTCACTATACTAGGAAACTGCAGGTGACATGTGGAAATTTTATAAAAGGGGGGTGTCTTTGCCTTAATACTACTTCTGTAGGTAAGGAAGATTAAAACAAAAAGACAAAAAGGAAGAAAGAATATAAAAGGATTGAAATGTGTTACAAAAATTAAAAGAACAATAAAATCCCCCTCCCCATAGTATAAGCTACCATTTCCTGAAGGCTTGCTATGGAGGGGTAATGTGCTTAGTTCTTGATGTGCAGCCCTACCTCATTTATGACAGCTGAGAAAACTAAGACTGGGGAACTTTAGTAACTTAGAATTGGTACTTACAGCCACATCAGACATCATCAAATCCATGCTTTTAACTATCTAGTACTGCCTGCCTGGTAAAGAGTATGTATTTTATCAGGCATGGTGGTCCAGGCCTGTAATACCAGCAACTTAGAAGACTGAGGCAGGAGGATCACAAGTTCAAGGTGCACCTCAGGAATTCGGAGGTGGGGGGGAACTAAGTAACTTAGTAAGACCCTATCCCAAAGTAAACAATAAAAAGCATTGGGAATGTAGCTCAGTGGCAAAGTGCCCCTGAGTTCAATCCCTCATACCTGTCCTCCCACCAAAAAAAGGGCACCAAAATAGACTTGTAGTGCAAAAACAACATTAAAAAGAAAAAAAAAAAAGTAAGCACCAGTACACTGGCAACTCGCCTATGATCTCAGCAGCTCCAGAGGCTGTGGCAGGAGGATCACAAGTTCAAAGCCAGCGTCAGCAACAATGAGGCGAGGCACTAAGCAACTCAGTGAAACCCTGTCTCTAAATAAAATACAAAATAGGGCTGGGGATGTGGCTCAGTGATGAAGTTCCCCTGAGTTCAATCCCTGGTCCTTGGAAAATAAAAGGTGGGGATAAGCATTTTCCTTTATCATGTGTATATTCCCAAAGCAAACTTCTTGAAAACTAGACTGGTGTTACATGATCACTTGGAATCCCTGAAGATCTTGTATAATGCTGATCATAAGTGTTTCAACTTCTCCAAGGATGAACTGCAATTCTTTGCAAACGTGTACAAGCTTGGTATCTTAGACCTTTTCTGAAAGGAAGGGCAGAAACAACAACAACAACAACAACAACTGATATCAGATTGCATTTCCCCAGTTTGCATACTCATTAAATTCTTGGTGCCTGGTAAGTTTTTTTTCATGCTTTTTTTGGACCTTTCAGTCTACTATAACAAAACATTAAATACTGGTGGCTTTTATAAACAACAGAGCATTATACTGGGTATGATGGTTCACACCTTAATCCCAGCAACTCAGGAGGCTGAGGCAGGACATTACAAGTTTGACACTGGTCTTAACAATTTAGCGAGATGGTCTGGGGAAAAAAAAAAGTCTGGGGATGTAGCTCAGTGGCAAAGCACCCCTGGTTTTATTCCTAGTACCACAAACACAAAAACAGAAATCTATTTCTCAGAGTTTTGAAAGCCAGAAGTCATGATCAAGTCATCAGCATGTTCAGTGGTGGTGGTGGGGCAGCAAATTCTCTTCCTGGTTCATAAATGGCACTTTCCCAATGGGTCCTCACAACAATGGAAGGGACCAACAAAATCGTTTGGGCCTGTTTCATAAGGGCACCAATCCTCTCCATGTGGACTCCACCCTGTTTACCTAACCACCTCCCATGGGCTCCATCCCCATGACCATCATCACACTGGGGGTTCAGATTTCAACATATAAATTTCAAGGGGACACACTTGAGTCCATTGCCTGCTGGGACTTTTCTCCCATTGGTTTCATCTCAGTCCACCTCCTCTACCTTTAATCTTTACCTCTTTTGTGGAGGAGACATCTTAAATTTCCTCAGGTAGAGGGGATTAGTCTATTCCTCAGGTTAATGGTGAGCTGAGTGGGGGATGCTGGCTTTAGGGGCAAGGGGGAAAAAAAAAACACTAAGGAAAGTAGAAAAAAGAAATAGAAAATGGATAGGTCTTTCAAAATTACTTTCCTTGTAAAGGTTTAAGCAGAGAGACCTCCTTATCATGCTGGTTAAAACTGGCTTGGTTTGGAATTTGGCTATTCTATCTTTGTCTTAATTTTTTGGAAGTTCAGATCAACAACTTAGTTTTTTTCTTGGTGATGTAGAATGTCATCAGGAGTAACTCCATTTTCCCCACATGGCCTCCTCTAAATTTTATTTAACAAATTAATGTTCCCTCTAAAAGTCCAGGGTAAAACAGAATTAATATCCCCCACCCCTGAAGTTAAGCAACACATGGGGTTTTTATACTTTCTATCCAGGATAAACACAAGTCCTTGTCACTCAACATTTTTTTTTTTTTTTTCCACTTAGACATGCCACTTTAGACTGCTGTCCATAAAAATCCTTTTTTTTTTTTTTTTTGGTACCAGAGCTTGAACCAAGGGGTGCTTAACCACTGAGCTACATCCCTACCCCTTCTTATTTTTTAAATTTTGAGACACGGTCTCACTAAGTTGTTTAGGGTCTTAGTAAGTTGCTGAGGCTGGCTTCGAATTGGCAGTCCTCCTGCCTTACATGCACTATGCCTGGCTCAAGATTCTTGATGGGAAGGAATTTTGCTTCTGCCTGTTATTTTGGACTACCACATTGGTTACTACATACAACTACATGTCACCATAAACAGGAATTGATTGATGCCTTGAGATAATCTTGATTCATCTCCTTTCCCCACCTCTGTGTATGAGTGAGTGCAGCTGTGGGGTGGGTTCTTTGTGTAGGATTAGGAAATTGCAGTTTTTGAAATTAACCAGATGTTTTTATTTTCAAAGAAAAAGTTCACACCTAGTGAAATATTTGTTTACAAGCTTCACAACAAAACAAAAGATTATGAGAAAACTTTCAAGGGACTTGGGTCATAGAAACCAACTCAACACCACGGCTTTCCCAATTTCATAGCCCAGGGGATGTGGCAGAGACAAAGCACCACTGACTGTAAAAACTCATAAACTAAGTTTATAATGTCTAATAAATAACAGTTATAATCTGGAAAGATTCCTGCTTTGACTTTGGTTTCTATCCATTTTTTCCAACAGTCTGTGCTGTAAAATACACTTAAAAAATGTGTTTTAAAAATCATGTCCTAAAATTAGTGTTTTAGAAACTTTAGGAATACTTGTTAGGAAAATGTTGGCGCAACAAAAACAAAACAACCGTGTCTCAAGAACCGAAAGTGAAATCAGTTCTAACTTTTTGTTTCTGTTAGTGGATAATCATGGGAGCCACAAGGTTTAGTGTTCCTAGTCGTGCTTAAGTTTTAAAGAAAAGTCTTCCCCCCTTTTCTTTTCTTTCTTTTTTTTTTTTTTTTTAAGGAACCAAGCTGTTTGAGTGAGTGGCACCTACTCGAGGGCACCTAAGCTGTTTCGGGGCGCTTCTGCAGGAGACTGCGCCAGCTCCAGCACCCAGTACGTAGCCCTCCAGCCGCGTTGGGCAAGGGCGGTTTCCGGAAGGTCACGCTCGCTGGAGCCCGGGGGCGCTGCGCTTGGCTGGTGGACGCTGGTGAGTGGGGCGCCCAGTCCCTTGCTCCTAATCCCTGCTACGAGCAGCCCCGGTGGGAAGGGAGGCGGGTTCCACTGCAGCGACGCGCGGGAATTGGGGAGAGCCAGGGTTGGGATCCCCGCGCTCAAGAGCGCTTTCCGCACTTTGGGTGTTTGGGGACACGTAAACCCCTGCGGCGCACCTGCCTCGGGGGCCATTTAGCCTTCTCTGCGCCGTCGGGCCCTCAGACCCGTCTTCTGTTTGCTTTGTTTCATTCGGGAAATTGAAACTTAAAATGATTTATGTCTCCCTACTGTTTTCTTGGAGGGTCCCCAGGAAGAGTTCTTAGGAAAACGGATTTCTATTCTTCTTGGCAGACGCATAGTTCTGCACCCATGCCTCACTTTTCAGAACTGGCAAGGTTTTCTTGTAGGAGGCATCCAAAGGAGAATACTATTGTAAAATCAAAACTATAGGGGGCCATTATTTGGATTAAGCTCATGCACTGGGCCCCAAGAGACCAGACTAAAAAAACAATATGGAGTAACCCATGCTAAAGTTCCATGTCACTGAAGTAAAACTAAGTTGTAACTGTCCTTCTGAGAAAGATAACAGCCAAGTTTCCTAAGCAGGCTAGTTTCAATTAGCATGATAATGACTTCCCTCTGATTTAATTCATACAAAAAAAAAAAAAAAGTAACCTGAAATAGCCTGTTGGTAACCAAGCAGTTATTTTTCTATTCTGATTTCCTGTCTGTCCCAGTCTTACAAAGAAAGTAACATTGCAATGACCAATCTACTTTTTGTACAAACCTCCCCCCCCCTTCTGCTTTTTAAAAGTTTCTCTGCAAAACCAACTTCTACTCAGCCCATGGGAACATTTAAATCTATTTATGAAATAAAGTGTGAGATCCTCCAATAGTAAAATAAAGCCAAGTAAGAGCTTTAAACTGTTGTACTTTTGTCCTTTGACACTATGTTCCAAGTATATACAACATGCATATATTGTATTTCTTCTTCTTGCTGCTGGGCCTGAATATGCAAAGATTCCATTCAAAACCACTATGCAACACAGTGATATGATATTTTAGGGAAACGAGATGATGGTGGTTTGTATTGGTTTTTATTTCACCACCATAATGAATTACATGGATTTAGTGGTTTATCCCCCTCCCTCCTTTTAATTTTAGAATTCTGTAGGTTAGAAGTCCTGTGCAGGTCTCACTGGGCTAAAGCCAAAGTGTTGGCAGGGCTGCTTTCCTTTTCTGGAGGCTCTTGGGACCAATTCCCTTTCTGAGTTCTAGAATCTGCCCACCTCACTTGACTCAGTTGCTCTTTCTCCATCTTCAAAGCCAGCAACTTTTGCATCTCTGGCCATTCTTCAGTCCTCACATCTCACTGACTCTTCTGTCTTCCTCTTTTACTTTTAAGGACCCTCTGGATCACACTGGTTCCCAGAGATAATTCCGGAAGACTTCCATATTTGAAAGACAGCTGATTGGCAACCTGAATTTAATCTGCAGCCTTAAGTCTCCTTTGCAATGTAATCTAACATTTTTACATTTTGGGATTAAGATGTGGATATTGAAAGGGTCATTATTCTGCCCCCCACATGATTGCACAAAAGGAAAGTATTACCACACATCTGACTCGCTTCAAAGAGGGATATTATTCAGGTGGTGAACATGCCTAAGGAGTTGGGGGGACCATTTACATTGAGAACCTTTAATACATTGTAAAAATGATTTTTTTTAGGGGGGGACACTTTACTGGGGATTGGACCCAGGAGCACGTTACCACTGAACAATCAATATTCCCTGTCCTTTTAGTTTTATTTTGTTTTTAAAATTTGAGACAGGGTCTAAATTGCTGAGGCTGGCTTTGAATTTGTGAACCTCCTGCCTCAGCCTCCAAAATTGCTGGGATTACAGGCATGCACCACCAACAATAATAATTTAAGAAAGCAATTAAATAACAGTGCAGTTTCTGTCTTTTGAAAATATAATAAGAGGACTTCACATGTATACGAGGTCTGTGCAGAACAAATATGCAAATCAAGATACCATACACTTCCATAAATTGAATATTTTCATTGTGTAAAGTTGTGCTTTGCATGGATTGCAAGAGGAAGTGAACATGATTCCTGTCTTCAGTCACGGAAAATGACACAGATACAAAAATAAATTTAAGTACTCCTAACCAAAAAATGAAGTGGGGGAGGGGATGTAATATTTTGGAGGAATCAGACAAGTCTTTAAGAACTTTGGGGAGATTTGGAATGGTCCTTGAACAGCAGAATTTCTTGGGGTTGAACTTAATTAAGGTTGGGAGGGGTGGAAGGAGGTGATATAGTGCGGTACCGGAGACAGAGGAGGGATCCTCCTTCAAGGAACCCTCAAATGTGGTTGAGGAGTTGTTTAAATATGGTAAGTAAGTTGGGGTCAGATTGTGTTAGACTTTGGGTGAACACCATTAGGAAGATTCTGCAATTGTTTATACAACAGTGATATGTGTATATATATATTTGTGTGTGTGTCTGTAGTTTTAAAAAATGTATATATTTTTCATCTTAGACCATCTCAGACTTGCAGAAAAATTTGAAGTACAGTAGAACAATTTTTGTTTGCCCTGAATTATTTGCAAACAAATTTCCAACTTGTTGATCCATCACTGTGAAATACTTGGGCATAGATTTCCTACCAAAAAAAAAATGTGCTTTTATATAACCACAATATAGTCATCACAATCATGAAATTAATAGTGATATTTCTACCATCTAATCATCATATTAAATTCAGATATCCCAGTTGTCTCAATATCAGAATCATGGACTGCATATTTAGTTGTGATATTCTTTGGTTTCCTTTAGTCTGGAAATTTCTCTGTTTTTCCTTGATTTTCATGAACTTGACACTTTTATTTAAGAGAACAAGCCAGTTGTAATGTAGAATGTGCCTAAACTTGAATTTTTTTTTTTTTGTCTTAGATTCAGAAGATGGCATCTTTGGCAGGAATATCATCAAAATCACACTGTGACTTCAGGGCACCTATTTCATGTTACATGATATTGATTTATCACATTATTTAAATTATCTCGGTATGGTGGCTTCTGCCAGGCTTTTCTGCTGTGAGTTACTTGTTTTTTTCCCTTTGAAAGTAGTACGTATTTTGTGGGGAAGTATTTTGAAACTAACTAAATATTTCTGTCTTCACCAAAATTTCAATTTTTAAATTTATTTACTTAGGTTTCATCTCATAGTTTTGTTTTCTACTCAGTGGCTTTAATCATGACTACCATTATTTGTCTTAATCCCTAATTTATTCCCAGATTTGGTCAGTGAAAACCAACTAAAGCTGAATCCTGTGTCCTTTGGACATGTCCTCATCATTCTTTAAGCATTTCCTTGCTTTTTGGCATCACAAGATGTCCCAGGCACATTTTGTAGTTTTTCTGTTCCAATTTCTCCAAAGAGCCTTGGCTCCTCTGAGTGGAGAACAGCATTAGAAATCAAAGTCTGGGTGCCTGGCAGATGTCACCATAATGAGATAATCAAAGTAAATAGTGGGATTAATCAAAGTCATGTAACGTGTAATGGGGTAAACTGCGATCACAGAGTGACAAAAGATATTCCAGGCTTATCTTATATATTTCCTGTCCTAGGACTAAAACCAACCACTGATTTAAGGAGCCTTGGTTCATTTTATTGGAGATAGTATTAGAAACGAAGATCTGAGTGCTATGTGACCCTCTATTTTTCTTATATTCCTGTATTTGCACTGGGTAAACTAAGGCAAGTTTACCCAGTGCAAAACACACACACACACACACAGTCTTAAAATATAAATATAAATAAATGTATATCTATATCTATATCTTTATCTATCTATCTATATATATATCTGAGGATTGAACCCTGGGGTGCTCTATCAATGACCTATATCCCCAGATCTTTTTATTTTTTATTTTGAATCAGGGTCTTGCTAAATTGTCAAGGATGGCCTTGAACTTGGAATTATCTTGCCTTAGCCTCTCTAGTTGCTGGGATTACAGACATGTGCCACGGTGCCCTGCTGTCTTTTATTTTTAAAAAGCAATAATTTTTTCTTTTTGAAAATACTGGGAATTTAACTACTTACAGTCTTGGAAAATGATACAGCAGACTGGCTATTAAGGTTCATCTAAAGCCAGAAAGACAGTCAAGATGTTTTTTTGTATCAAACAATCTAGCAAGTTTTCATCTTAGTACAGTACCAGTACAGACTGGTCTTCTTGACTCTTTTTTTATACCATTTAATCCTTTGCTATCCTTTGCTAGAGTGGCAAAACTTATGGGCCTCCCCCCACCCCCCTTTTTTTTTCCTGATACTAGGGGTTGAACCTAGGGGAGCTTTTATCACTGAGCTATCCCTCTAGCTCTTTTCAGTGTTTTTTATTTGAGACAGGGTATCATCAAGTTGCTGGCCTTGAACTTGTGATTTTCCTGCCTTGGCCTCCCAGTATCATGAATTCCAGGCATGTGCCACTACACCTGATGCCTATAGGCCTTTCCTAATCAAAAATGAAGTTTTTTAAGTGTATAAAAATACATAGACTAACAAAGGAAACCAATTTTTTTCTTTTCCATTTTTATTGGTTTATTATAATTGTACATAACAGTGGGATTCATTGTTACATGTTTGTACATGTGCACTAAGTTACAATATAATTTGGCCAATATCATTACCTCCTTTTCTCCCCTGGTACCTTTCTTCTACTCTAATGATCTCCCTTTGATTTTCATGAGATCTCCCCACCCCTACCCCTCTTTTCCTTTTTACTCTCTAGCTTCCACATGTAAGAGAAAATATACTACCCTTGACCTTCTGAGTTTGGCCTATTTGGCTTAATATAATGTTCTCAAGTTCCATCCATTTTCCTGAAAATGACATAATTTTATTCTTCTTTATAGCTGAGTAAAACTCCATTGTGTATATATACCACATTTCTGTTCATCCATTGATGGTCACCTAAGCTGGTTTCATTGTTTGACCATTGTGAATTTTGCTGCATAAACATGGGTATGCATGTATCGCTATAGTAGACTGAATTTAACACTTTAGGATAAATACTGAGAAGTAGTATAGCTGGGTCATATGGTAGTTCCTTTTAGTCTTTTGAGGAATCTCCATACTCATTGATTTTCAGGGTTGTATAAATTTATAATACCACCAACAGTATAAAACTGTTCCTTTTTCTCCACAAACTCTTCAGCATTTATTATTGTTTGTATTCTCTTTTTGTTTGTTTTATTGTTTTTGGTACCAGTATTGAACCCAGGGGTGCTTAACCACTGAGTCACATCCCCAGCCCTTTTTATTTTGAAACAGGGCCTTGCTACATTGCTGAGGCTGGCTTTGAACTTGTGATCTACCTTCCTTAGCCTCCCAAGTTGCTGGGATTATAGGTGTTTGCTACTGTGACTAGTTATTGTTTGTATTCTTGATGGCTGCCGTTTTAACTGGGGTGAGATGAAATCTCAGTGTAGTTTTGATTTGCATTTCCCTAATTGTTACTGATGTTGAGCAGTTTGTCATGTATTTGTTGTTCATTGTATTTCTTCTTTTAAGAAATATCTGTTTAGCTTATTAGCCCATTTATTAATTAGGGTACTTGTTTTTATGATAAGTTTTAAAAAATTTTTTATATCTATTCTCTATATTAATCCTGTCAGAAGCATAACTAGCAAAGATTTTCTCCCATTCTCTAGGTTCTCTTTTCACATTCTTAATTAAGAAAACCAATTATATTGAAATATGGTTATCAGAATATTTAAACAAACTTTTGATACTAATATGTATTAATATATTACAGTATTTCACAAGACCTATCAGAAGCTGTGTTAAAAACAATATTTCAGTATATTTGCAACAATTATAATATTCTATGAAACTATCTGTCCTTTCTACTAGTGACTTTGTTACAGTTGGTATGAACACTACCATAATTGCCTATATTTATACTTGAAAAGAATGTTAATTTTTCAGTTAGAGGTTTTAAAAACACATGTAAATTAATTGACCCTAGGGAGAGTTTATTAAAACTCCAAGTGAGATCACCTATGTAGAGAAAGAATGCATTGGGGGCCTTTATACTTGGTTTACTTTTGGGAAATACAGTAGAGAGAATTAAATGTTTAAATCAAAACCTTTAGAAAGGTTGGAAGATCAAAATAGTAGTCTTTTAAAATGGAGCATAATATTGTAATTGGAATGTGAACTGTAAAGAATGTTAATACACATTATTTTATATATATCCTTGAACGCAAATGATTTTAAGAAATTTTTATGTACTTATAGGTGTGAAAATTATTTGAAATATAGACTCTATAAAAGTTGTTATTTCTTTCTTCTTCACCTTGTATGTGTATGTACTATTTAAAAAGTATTTTAAATTAAATTTCTTCTCCTCCCCCATCCCTTCTCTTTCTCTTCCTTCATTTTTGTGGTGCTAGAGATTGAACCCAGGGTTTGGCGCATGCTAGGCAAGCATTCTACCACTGAGCTACATTCCCAGCCCTGAAAGTTTTTTTTTTTTTTTTTTAAATCTTTGATAATTAGAAAATCATGGAAGCTGATAAAGACAACAACAAACAAGTTCTTAAGGAACATCAGACAAATGAAGAATTGATGAAAGACGACCAAAATGAGGTAAAAAGGAAAATGACTAGATATTAATAAAAATTTAATTTTTAGTAAAGCACTTTTATATGTCTTTGTCCAACATTACCTTGCATTTTGGAAGCTATTAGGATCCAACATTTTTGGAATTATTTTTTTTTTTTAAGTTTTGTTGTGTTATTTAAGCCTTGTAGGAAGGTTTGTATTTCTAATCTTTTGTTTACAGAGTTTACAACAGAATGTAGCTGCTTTCTCATGCATTCCCTCATTCTTGGACTTGCACCTGGAAATTCAAAGATTAATTAGCAATTATCTGATCTAACCAAAGAGGGAGCAGAGGCCCAGGTAGTTTAAGCCTGTTACCCAAAGGCCATGTGTTTGACCTTTTAAGATAGCTGTAGACTATGGGAATCACAGCTAATATATATATTTTTTTAATATTGCCACAGATTAACAAGTTGACAGTTTTGGTGTAATTTAAAAGTCATTTAGTAGTCACAAATAGCAAGGAAGCGAACTAGTCTCAATCCCTGCCTCAATTATAAAAATGTCTTTGACTTTGGTTCTGGGTGAAAAGCAGTTTCCTTATTTATATTATAGAGATAGAAAAATTGAAAATGTTAGCAGAATCACTGGTGATCAGGTAAAATACTCAACGAAGATATTATTCATGTGAGCACAATTAATTCTGAGAGTATCTATTACCTTTCTTTGTCTTGCTCAGGTGGAGAAATTTAGCATTTTTAATTAATTTAGAAAAATGAGCTCATTTTAAACTTTATGAGTTTTAAACTAATGAGCTCTATTAAACTTTGCGGGTACCATTTGATATTTTTTAGGGATTAATTGATGAAATTATAAAGGAAAATATCCATTTAAAGGAGGAGATTCAAAAGCTTGAAGCCGAGTTACAAGAGGCCGCCGGAGTCTTCCAGGTACTCTATTTTGTGTTTCACATTTTTATGGACATGTACTTTAAGAAAAAGTGATGTAATTACACGAAGTTCATTTTAAAAACATTCAGAGCACCAAAACAACCTAAATGTTCTTCCAAAATAGGATAAATTAATAAATTAGGGTATATTCACACACAGTTGACTATTGCACAACATTGAGAATGACCAGACCACAACTACATAAAATAAGACGGATGAATCTCATAAACATGGTGTTGATCAAAAAAGACAGTGGAAGGTTGTTAATCAACTTTTTTTGTTTTGTTTTGTTTTGTGATGGTGGGGTTGAACCCAGGGCCTTGTGCATGCGAGGCAACTGCTCTACCAACTGAACTATATCCCCAGCTATTGTTAATCAGCTTTTAATTCTTGTCACCAAAATACCCAACAAGAACAATTTAGAGGAGGGAAAATTTATTTGGGCTCCTAGTTTCAGAGATTTAGAACATAGTGGGCCAACTCTATGGCTTTGGGCCTGAGGTGAGGCAGAATGTCAGGGCAGAGGGCATGGTGGAGGAAAGCTGCTTACCTCATGGCAGCCAGGAAGATGAGAGAGGGCAAGAGGCCTCAGGAAGATGCACCCTTCCAGAGCACACCCCCAGTGATCCACCTCCTGCAGCCATGCCCCACCTGCCATATGGTTACCACCCAGTCAGTCCATTCAAACTAGGATGGGGTGTTTAGTGACAGCTCTCACAATCCAATCATTCTTGCATTAACACAGGAGCTTTTTGGGGGACACCACATTTCCAAACCATAACAAGGGTATACCATTTGTTTCCATTTAAATAAAGTACCAAAGCAAGATGTTCAGAATTAGGCCAGTAGTTGCCTTCAGAGGCGGGTAAGACCCCTGTGGAAACCCAGGAAGGTTTCTGGGGTGTTGTCATGTTCTGGGTACCAGTCACACAGCGTGTCAGCTTTGTGTGATTTTTATCCTGATATATACTTAGGATTCATACACGTTTCTTTTTGGGTAGTGGGGACTGAACTCAGGGGTACTTTATCACTGAGCTATATCCCTGGCCCTTTTTATTTTGAGGCAAGTTCTCACTGAGCTGTCCAACTAAGCTTGAACTTTTGATCCTCCTGCCTCAGCCTCCCAATTGAGATGATAGGTGTATGCCATGGTACCTGGAGGATATATGAACTTTTCTGTTACTTATATACACTTTAATAATACTTACAACCTGCCCCCCCCAAAAAAAAAAATGAACAAAATTTACAAAGTCAAATAAAGTGATAGTTATTACCAATCACTTTTGGATCAAATACTTGGTCTTCTCACTCAATCCATTTATCATCTTCCTCATCCAAGGTGCTAGTAATTTGGGTGAATTTTAGTTTAAAAAGTTGGACTTATATTAATCCTCACCATTTAAATTCTTTCCTAAATTTTCCTGTATTTGAATTAGATGTACCTTTCATTCCTTGTTTCTTCTTAACAGCGCAGATGGTTAGAAAATTAAAATATCATCACTTTGTTGTTGAAACACCAAGATAGGGATTTGAGTACCTGGAAGTAAAGTTGCCCCTGCTCATGAGATGGGTGAATTTCAGCAGAAGATGGTTAGGATTCTGGTTACTTCTCAGACTGGGGCCAGATCAAAGACCTTTAGAAACCAGCCAGTCCAGTAGACCCACTTTGCAGGGACCTAAGTTGAGATCAACAGAGCCTAAGTGAGATGTTCTCTGTCACAATAGGGACTAGCCAGGACTAGTACTGGGCTTTCTCAGTCACCCTGGAAAGCTCTTGCCTTCTCAGGATATACTGAGAACCCCAACCTCCCCCCCATGTTGTAAATGTGTATGTGTGTGTGTGTGTGTGTGTGTGTGTTGATGGGGATTGTACCCAGGACTTTGTCCATGCTAGGCAGGGACTGTAACACTGAGCCATATCCCCAGGTCACCCTTCTCCCCACAGCCCTATTTATTTTATTTTTGAGACAGGGTGTCACTAAGTTTCCCAGGCTGGCCTTGAATTTGTGATTGACTCTCCTGCCTCAGCCTTTGGAGTAGATGGGATTATAGGCATGAGCCCTGTACCCTGAATACAGATATGCAGATTGTTTTGGTTAGCCTATGGTAATCAGATTTATTTTTGGTCCTGGAGATTGAATTTGGGGGGCACTTTACCACTGAACTACACTCTCAGACCTTTTTATTTTGAGACAGCGTCTCTTTAAATTGCGTCAGGCCTTGCTAAATTGCTGAGGTTGGCCTCAAATTTGTGGTACTCCTTCTGAGTAGGTGGGATTATAGGCATGTGCCATGGTACCTAGCCAACAATCAGAAATTTTTACTGAAGTTAGATGTAAAGATATAAAATAAGTGTCAGGTTAGATCAAATGACTCAGTGAATGTGTCTAATCTTTAGTGATATACCTTTTATGCAAAATAACCATGAAAAATAGGAATGTAAACTCATTTGTGCATTTATGTGTGTTGTGTATGTCTGTCAATCCCAGTGATTTTGTTTTTTATTTTTATGATGTGAGGATCCAACCCAGATCCTTGAGCATGATAGGCAAGAGCTCTACTATTGAGCCGCACCAGCCCTTGTTTAATTAATTAATTATTACTGTGCTGGGAATCAAACCCAGTGCCTTGTGTATGCTAGGCAAATCCCAATCATTTTAAATAGTTAATCATAACCACCTAACTTTATCCTTCAGGTTGCAATTCTTCTTCTTCTTCTTTTTGTTGTTGTTGTTGTTTTCCTTTGTAATGCTGGGAATTGAACCCAGGGCCTTATGTATACTAGGCAAGCACTGAGCTACATCCCCAGTTCCTTTAATTCTTGATGTTAGTATCCCTTAACTTTTTTATAAGTTTATGTTGTGGTAATGTTTAAAAGCTGATAGGTAGGTGTGGGGAAATATGGAATTTAAATGTGATAAATTTCATATCATACGATTCAGTAGTCTTTCATTTTAGATGACACTCTCTGGGTTTGTCATAAACATAACCACAGTACACCCAGTCCTATATTTCACACTTCTTTGCAGTGAAATTAAACATGTTATCTAATGATTTCCTTGTGAGATAGTGCATTATTGGCAGTTGTTTAGAAGGTCCTTGTCTACATGAATGATGAGTGGAACACATACTGACCAGTTTAAACATTGACTAGAAAAAGTGAGAGGATTATGTATTTATAATTTCATTTGTGAAATGATATTAAAGGATCAGTATTTGATTACATTACTGAGTACTTGCAGGGGAAAAAGCAATTACTAAAGATGTTAAATAAGTCTACAGTCAATATTCTATGAGGTTCTAAAATCAGTGGAGAATGAATTATTGGCTGACCAAATCTATTTTCATTGGTGGGACTAAAGTTATTTATTATCTTGATTTTAAGCAAACATTTCTATTTGAATTAGATTAAAGAGGATATTCCAGAGACAAAGATAAAATTCACATCACTAGAGACTCCTGAGGATGTTCGCCAGTTTTCAAACATTTCCTATTCATTTGAAGTGAAATCACAAGTGCCTTATGAGCTACAAAAAGGACAAGCACTTATCACCTTTGAAAAAGAAGAAGGTATGACTACTCTCCTTTTTTTTTTTGAAGAAAAATAAAAATAAAAATCTTTAATAATTAAAAGTAAAACCATTTTTTTTTCTGATATCTAACTCTATTCTGCCTTTTTGGATGTAGTTTCTTTTTCTTTTTTTTTAAAAAAAATTATATGTTCTTTTTAGATATAGATGATAGTAGAGTATATTTTGATATATTAATATACATGGAGTATAACTTATTCTAATTATGATCTTATTGTTGTGGTTGTACATGATGTGGAGTTTCACTGGTCGTGTATCCATATATAAACATAGGAAAGTTATGTCCGATTCATTCTACCATCTTTCCGATTCCCATTCCCCCTCCCTTCCCTGCATTCCCCTTTAAGGTATGATTAATCTTAAAAAATATATATATATATAACCATGTTATCTTTGGAGAGCACTGGAATTTTGACAGGTCTTTCCAGATTTTGTGATAGTGTATTATTGGCACAGTTATTTAGAAGGTCCTCATCTACGTGAATGATGTGGGCTTTAGAATGGAACACTGTACAATACTGACTAGAAAAAGTGAGAGAATTATGTATTTATATGTTATATATTTATTTCTTAGATATTTGGTTATTGTTTACCATGTTTCCATATAATATTTTTTCTCATCCTTGTAGTGACACTCTGAAGCAGATATAATATCTCCATTTTATAGATGAGAAAACTGACTATAAGACATTATGTGTGTTAGTTAGCTTTTCATCACTATGACAAATACCTGAGAGAAATCCACTTAAAGGAGGAAAGGTTTATTTTGGCTTATAGCTTTGGAGATTTCAGTCCACGATCACTTGCCTGTGTAATTTCTTGAGGACCAACATTCCTCGGAGCAGGTTGGCCTTCATTCTGGTATTTGTGAAGTTATAGGGTGGGACCTGGTGGTCTTCAGGGCCATTCAATGTTTATATTCAGAAATTCTTAATCATAACCCCTATCTCCTGACTCCCGGTCCTACCATGGTAGCCTAAAAATAAATGTTGACAGGAAAGACTTTCCAGAAGGTTGGTGAATGCTCAGATGAGGCTCTCTTCCCCAGTGAGCTTCTGTTTACCCTGGCGCCACCACTGCAGCTGACGAGAGGTGGAGGCCAGGAGCCACATTGGCAGTGGACAGTGGTAGTCGGGATGGAACTGGCAGACATAAATGAGGATTCTGAGCCAGGTTTCTGCACAGCCTTTACCTGGAAATGCTGGGATTAGGATTTTCTTCAGATAGAGCCACATCACTGTTTCTACTGTTGACATGGCTCTGAGCCCCTGATCTCCTGGGACAGTGCTACATTTGAACGTAATGAATCAGGAGTTGGCTTTTGGCTGTTCGAGTCATAGAAGTTGAGACATAAGTGGTCTCTCTCCACTGTGTCATATCACCAGATGTTGGGAGTTTCTTGGGGGGGGGCGTGAATGGGAAAGAGGATCATCTGAGTATTACTTCATTGATGTTTTGTGTAATTGTCGTCTGTTGCCCTTAGCAAAGAAAAAAAGAAAAAAAAAGAAAAAAAAATTATCCAATTTATAAAGTCATGTTGTGGTACAGTGAGTCTGAATTCCCACAAGACAACGCCCTGCCTTCTAGTCCTGTTTCTCTCTCCCTCCAGCTGTGCTATCTGGTTGTCATAAACACAGTGAGGTTTATGAGACAGAGAATGAACATCTCTTGTCTTCATGATAAATTAGAACAAGCAGTTCCAAATTGCAGCAACTGAAGTGTTATAAACTCATGCCCCACAATTAAAAAAGAAATACCTACTCACATACATTTTAAATTTGCATATAGTTGCTCTTTGGATTTTTAATGTTTTTGGCATAATTATAATACTGAGCCTCTCCCATTTGTGTGAAAAAATTAGACCTGACGGCTTTGTGATTGGTATAGTGGGGTTCTCTGATTTTCAAAGGAATGATTTCAAGAGCATTTTAGTGAAATGAAATGCCTCATTAAATATGACAAAAAAATAAAAATCACCAACAAAACAAAATAAAACATTCTCACTCTGATAAACACGTGTACATTGTGAAGTTATAGGGTGGGACCTGGTGGGTTTTCAGGGCCATTCATTTTTTATTATGTTATCCTTATCAAGACAAAGACTAAAACAACTATGTATTTCTATGGTGCTTGTAACATGGGAGTGACAAATGATTAAGTTAAATACAGTTAAAGTCAATTGTAAAAATGACATTGGCCTGCAAAAGTTTTCCTAACTTACTCAACATGGAAGAATTTCTGACTGAGATCTAATGTTTTAGAGGAATTCTCTGGTAATGCTGTCAGTGGTGGAAAGAAGGGTGTGTGCCTAATGGAAATAATATATGAATAACATATGAATTTCTAGAGGACTATCATTGGGCATGTCTCTTAAGATAAATCAGAGGAGAGATTGATCCCTTAAGATGAATATGGAATTTGAGAAAAACTCTCATTTTTGCTGATGTATTGCAATATAAATATATTCTGCTTTGATGACAAGACCATTAGCATTTGGAAATCCCAAGAAAAATGTTAAAGTTATATCATTTGCTATTAAAGAAAATAAAAATATTCATGAAAATTTATTCTTAAACAAGCACAAAAACTTCAGAGAAATTGGAAATTAATACTTTCAAAATTATTTTCAGTTGCACAAAATGTGTTACAAATGGGGAAGCATCGTGTGCAGATGGAGGACGTGATTCTGGAGGTTACAGCCAATCCAGTTCCACTCAACACAGGAGTCAGATTCCAGGTAACACGGTAATTTAAAGCTTTGAGGAATTCTGTTGAACACGGGCTCTTTTCTCATCCATATTTCCAAACATGAAACCGTTTCTCAGGTTCATGTAGAAGTTTCTAAAATGAAGATCAGTGTTACTGAAATTCCTGATGAGTTGCCTGAAGATCAGATGAGAGACAAACTAGAGCTGAGCTTTTGCAAGTCCCGACTTGGAGGTGGAGAGGTGGAAAGCGTGGACTATGATAAGCGATCCGGAAGTGCCGTCATCACATTTGTGGAAGCTGGAGGTACTTGCCCACTGAGAAGTTTAGTACTCTGTCATTTAACTCTTTTCTGCCATTTCTGAAAGTATTCCTATTTTACTTCCTTTACTTCTAATTATCATGATAATTGGGGATTTTTCTTCACCTTATAAAAAGGTAGAGTCTAGAAAATAACTTTTTGACTACTATTGAGAATGCTAATGTTGCTACAAATAACACTCCCATGATCCTTGAACCATAAGGTCACCATCATGACCTGTATGTACATGCATGGCACTGTATGTACATTGTACACTGACACTCTATGTATTATCTCTTCTGATTCTCACACGACTCTGGAAGTAGGTGATATATTTATTTTACTGATGAGGAAACAGGCCTAAAAGATAAGTAACTTTCTTACTAAAGTGTAAGTGTAATCTCTCTTCAACCAGTAACTTAGGAGGCGAGATAGAGGGATCACAAGTTTGAGGCCAGCCTCAGCAACTTAGTAAAGTTTTAAGCAACTTAGTGAGACCCTGTCTCAAAATGAAAAGGGCTGGGGATGTAGCTCAGCGTAAAGCACCTCTGGGTTCAATCCCTAGCACCCCAAAATGAAACAAAACCAAAACCAAACCCTCAAAAAACCCAACTCTGACTTTCATCTCACATATTATTACTGACAAAAGTCTTGTAGGTAGAGGAAATCTATTCCAGGAGAGATGAGCTAGACATTTGTTCTTTTTTTCTGGTAAAATGGAGTTTTACTAACTGGATGTGGTGGTGCATGCCTGTAATCCCAGCAACTCAGGAAGCTAAGGCAGGAGGATTGCAAGTTTGAGATCAGTCTGGGCAACTTAGGGAGACCCTGTCTCAAAATAAAAAATAAAAAAGGTCTTCAATGTAGCTCAGTGCTTATAGTAGAGTGCTTTGCTTAGCATGTCTGGAGCCCTGGGTTTAATATCCAGAATCTCTCTCTCTCTTTCTCTCTGTCTCTCACATGCACACATATAAAAGAAAAAGGAAAAAAAATGGACTTTTATCAGATCATATTAGGAAGGTTTACATACTTACAACTGAAAAGATTCTACAGTTGCTTTTTAAAAATATGTTCAAGTGATTCTCTATGTAAAATACTCAAAATACTCTTGTTCTTGTTAGTGAAATACTTGGGCTTCTCCTGGGTTTATATGTATAGTAAAAATCCAACTGTATAATTAAAAAACATGGATTATATTTTTTTCATACCAATGTAATAAGTACTTCTTAAAAAATTGAAATACTGTATTGAAAGCATAAATTTAGTAAAAAGTGAAGCATTTCCTCTGGACCTTTGGACAAAATTTAGGGCTGGGTGTGTGTGTGTGTGTGTGTGTGTGTGTGTGGTGGGGGTACTGGGGATTGAACCTAGGGGTGCTCTATCATTGAAGTACATCCTGTACATTTTATTTTTAATTTGGAGACAGGGTTTTACTAACATACCCAGGCTGGCCTTGAATTTGTGCTCTTCCTACCTCAGCCTCCTGAATAGATAGGATTACAGGCAAGTGCCATTGTGCCCAATGGTGGGTGTTTTATGGTTAAATAGAGACACAAATGGAAGAGGTCCTAGAAATGGATCATAACTTGGTAGAAATTTCAATAGTTAAGGATCCAGATTTTAATTTTCCAAGTTCTTATGTTCAATTTCTCTGCTTGATGTTAGTGGTCCCTCTCTTGTATTAAAAACAATCCACAAGAGACTTATCTGTGCATTAGAATATAATTAAATACTTTATAGTGGGTGCTAATATGAGCTTGAGAATCTGAGCTCATGTCCTTTCTGGGGATACCTCCAAGGGGTTATGTCTGGCTGAAAGGAGATAAAAATATTGAACCTTATAAAAAGTAACTTCTGAAGGATATAAAAGTATCTGAAGGTGAATATTACAGGTAGTTCAGAACTCTGTTTTTACAAAATCTTCATGACAATTTATGAGATGGATAATATAATTATACCCATTTTGCAGAAAAGAAAACCGAAGTGTCAAGAAGTAAGCAAAAAAAAAATCCCAGGCCACATTGCTAATAAGTATCAGAGTCAAAACTGAAGCAAGTCTATTTGATGTAGGGCCTGAACTTGTTAAAAATTGTTTTTAAATGGTGATTAAAATATACATAATATGAAATTTACCACTTTAACCATTTAAAGTATATAGTTTAGTGACATCAAGTACCTTCAGAATGTTGTACAACTATCACCACTATCCATTTCCATCATCTTATACTGAAAATCTATCCCCATTAAACAAGATCTCCCTCTTACATTCTCTTTTAGCTCCTAGTTAATAAGGGCAATGACCAGAGTCTCATTGTGGAGATCTTTTTCCTGCCCAGGAGGGTGTAAGACACCTGAACACTTAGAGTCTCAAGTAATTAGTGAAGAACAAAATACATAGTCATAAATATATTTACAAAAAGCAGAGCCCCTGATAGATCTAGTCCACATGGGTGCTGGCATTAGACAAAGGAAAGATGGCTCCAGTGGTTTATTTAAGAGGGTACATCAAAGTCAGGGATAAGGTTTAAAGGACAAAGTCTTGCTTTGTGATGTCTTGCAGTCAGCAGGTTGATTGGCATCTTGGCAGGTCACACCCATCTCAGGTGCTGGGTGGGTCACGGAAGAGTGGGATAGAAATTCACACTGTCTCTGGGCAATTGACCAGAGAAAATGTCCACTGGTCATTCCCAGACACCAGATGTTTCTATCCACTAAGCTTCCATGCGTGGTGACCCACATGCAACCCATGGGTGGCTCATGACACCTGGTAACCACAATTCTAATTTCTTCTCTATGAGCATGCCTTTTCTGAATAAGTGGAATCATAATACATTGTTAGTCTTTTTGTGCCTGATTTAGTTCACTTAGTATAGTGTTTTCAAGCTTTATCTGTATTGTATTATAGTCAGAATTTCATTACTTAAAGCTGAATAACGTTCTGTTATGCCTGTGTGTGTGTGTGTGTGTGTGTGTGTGTGTGTGTATCTAGCACATTCATCTGTTGCTTTTACCTTTTGGCTGTTGGGAATAATGCTTCTGTGAATATTGGTGGGCAAATATCTATTCAATCCCTGCTTTGATTTTTTTTTTTTGGATATATAATTGTGAGAGGAATTGCTGGATCATATAGCAAGTCTATTTAACATTGGAGGAATTGCCATACTGTTTTCCACACTGCCTGTACCATTTTACATTCCTTCATGCAGTGCTTCAGGGTGCCAACTTCACATCCTCACCAAGAAGGCCTGTACTTCTAACCATTGTACCATATTGCTGACCCAAGGTGGACTTATGAGAGGAATTAAAAAAAAAATGGTTAAATATTCTCAAGGATTGTTTCTGTTAAACCTTATCCAGTTTTGATATATGACTTTTCTCTACTTTAGGGGAAAATGCTGCTAAAAAAATCAGACTGTCCTTTCTATCATTTGTGTTGGAGAAAACTGATGAATTTTTGTTATTTGTCTTCCTTTAGTACCCTCCTTCTCCACATTATTTCAGTTTCCTGAATAAACTATACTGGGATGACCAAATAATTTACTATATATATGTATAATGTAAAATAAATTTATAACTCACTATATATTTATGGTGTTCTAATCATAGTTTTCATTTGTACTTATTTTTTTTTTTTGATACCAGGGGTGGTTAACCACTGAGCCATATCCCCAGCACTTTTTAATTTTTTATCTTGAGACAGGGTCTCACTAAGTTGATGAGGGTCTTGCTAAATTGCTGAGCTGGCCTCAAACTTTTCATCCTCCTGCTTCAGCCTCCCTAGTCACTGAGATTACAGGCATGTGCCATCATGCCCAGCTCATTTATTCTTCTTGAGAAACAGAAACCCTCCAATCTTGTTAGGATGAGTGCAGATGACTATTGTATTTTTTTTTTTTTTATGGTACCAGGGATTGAACCCAGGGGTTCTTTACTACTTAACTATATCCCCAGCCCTTTTAAAATTTTGAAACAGGGTCTTGCTAAGTTGATGACTGTCTTCAAACTTGCCACGATCTGGCTTCTACCGCCTGTCGGATCACCGGCATATGCTACTGTGCCCAACATGACTATAGTTTTTTATGTAACTCAGTGTCCATCTGAGAACAATCAGCACCCCCTGTGCATTGATGGACTGTAGGGGATAGTTTAAGGCAGAAGGAACTATTTAAAATTATGTACTGTGAAGTCTCCTTGTGGGTGGTAACATTTCTTAGAAATTAATCACTCAATTCACTATTCACAGTGATATTATTTTGTAGGAAGGAAGTTTTAAATTTGATTAAAAATGTTTATGATATTAAAAAAATCTTTTTGCTTACTTTCAGTTGTTGACAAGATATTGAAAAAGAAAGAATATCCTCTTTACATAAATCAAAGCTGCCATAGAGTTGTTGTTTCTCCATACATAGAAAGACACGTGAAAAAGTATCAGGTAAAGTTATCTTTTTTGTTTGTTGGTTTGTTTTTTTGAGATGGGAGTCTCACTAGGTTGCCCAGGCTTCCCTCTTGAGTAGCTGGGCTTACAGTTCAAAAAGTCATCTTTTCTTTCATTTTGAGAACTTACTGCACAAACCTACCCCCTCCCCACTACAGAGAGACACACACAGAAAAGAAAAAAAAATTGTGTCTGTTACTATTTGAATTTTATCAGTGAGGGATTTCAAAATAGTTTTTTCATTTTTTTCTTGGCTCAGAATGAGTCTGACTTTTTAAAGAATATTTTAATATAAATCAGTGCCTTATTTACTTTATTTATTTTTAAATGAAAATTACTCACATAATAACAAAACATCTTTATTTTTATATGTGGAACATAGCTGCATTTCTCTTGTGTATCTGTTATCACTGGGTATTAGAAATCATTCTTTTGCTGTTTTCATTGAACTCATTATTTTTACCACAGACTCTCTTCCTGTTCCTTCTAAGATGGTACCACTATCTACCGACTCCACAAACCTGGTGGCAAGAACTTATACTTAACTCTTCATTTTGCCTCACCTCCACCATTTCAGATTCACCAAATCATGTCAGTCCATCTCTGACTACCTTTTTACCTGTCTCTTGAACTGCCCTCCTTTCCTCCATTCTTCGTAATGCCACCAGAGTTATTTTTCTGACACTCAGATCTGACTCTGACCATTCTCTTTGAAAAATCCTACAGCTTCCTATTTCTACTGACATAAAATCCCAAATTCTAAGCACAGCTTTTGGAGGAAAGGTTTTGAATTCAAAACTTTTGGCAATTTTTGTTTTTATCTTTTTTTCTTTCTTAGGTATTTTCAGGAATATCTAAGAGGACGGTGCTTCTGAAGGGAATAGAGAACATTCAGATGGAAGAAGAAATTGTGGAGGATTTAATTAACATTCACTTTCAGCGGGAGAAGAATGGAGGTGGAGAAGTAGATGTGGTCAAGTGTTCTCTAGATCAATCTTACACCGCGTATTTTGAAGAATAAACTGATGGAGTCATATGAAAATTATAGCTTTTAATACATATCACTGTAAACATTTGGCAAAAATGAATATCCTTTCCTTTAAAAATCAAAAATTTTAATTCTTTAGTGTCCATTTCTTTTTAAATAAAAAATATATTTCCAAGTTTTTGAATTCATCTTTGTTTTGAACTTGGCTGTATGTTTATAAATATGTAAGTACACTGTGTTAAAAACAGTTTTGTTCATAAGTTATGTGGATGAGTTCCATGTCTGTTGAAATCGACCTTAAGTGATCCAGATGTCCCCCTGCCCATGTTGGCTCATTCTGCCGCAGTCATGTCGGCCAATTCCATTTTGGCCCTGTGCCCACCAACATGTAGACTCGATACTTAATATTGTCCAGAGGAAATGCAGTAACATTGGGCAGTTTGGGATTTCTGTAGACTTTACCAACAATTCAAGGAACTTCAAGAGTGAAGGAATAGGGGCTGGGGTTGTAGCTCAGTGGTAGAGTGCTTGCCTTGTAGGCATGAGGCCCTGGGTTCGATCCTCAGCACCACATAAAAATAAATAAATAAAGATATTGTGTCCATCTGCAACTAAAAAAAATATTAAAAAAAAAGAGTGAAGGAACGTAGTTACACTTTGTGGTTTGTGATTTCTATAGATTTTACTCAAGATTCAAAGGACTTCAGGAGTGATCATGCCCCACTTTGCATAGCAATTAACTCCACAGACCCAACGTTCTCAGAGCTAAGTGTGGTGTTTTTCTTGAACTTTCCTTCTCTGAGCATGCCAACTGTCCCCTGACTCCTTCCAATCCCTCTCCTCTCCAAAGAGAGCTTCTAAAGACTAGCATTTTCTTTCTTTAACAGTGACATTAAAAAGTATCAGTCTAAGAGATGGAAAACCTTGAAACACAGGGAGAAGTAAATGCAAAGCTAGGGTGGTGAAGGCGATCCCCCACTCACTGTCTTGACAGGGTCACAGTGAGAAAAAGTGTTGGCAAAGCCGCTCTCCCACTGTCTTGACAGGGTCACAGTGAGGATGAATGCTGGCAAAGCCACGCTGGTTGGTGGGAAACCGAAACCACGAGACCCTTTTTTATGTAATTGGGACTTTTCATTTTCATGCTTATGTTTCTGACAGGAGGCATGAGTATGTTAAATGCCAAACAAATTAAATTTCAGATGGCTAGAATATAACAGGTAGTTCATGCCTTGGAGGCTGTTCTACTACCCCTCAGCATATCAAAGACAAAGGTAGAAGGTTGTTCTTCTATCTCAGTACATTGTGGACAAACCTGATAATGGACAACAATCATCCTTTGAAAGGTCATGAGAATTTTAGGCACCACATTGATTATATCAACTAGAACCCAAGCCCATATTTCCAGCCTCTTGGAAAACCTAATCAGTATGCTTATTTCACAAAGTTCACCACATGCAGTTTCATTTTTGATTAAGGAAAGTTATATTATACACTTAAGAAAGTTAAATCATATAAAGATATATTTTTCTCTTTTTATAAACCCTTTCTTACTTTACATAGGGATATATGATGAGCATAGTTAATATTGGTGGAAAGTGGATTGATTTTTAGAACTTACTTTCTATTGAGAAAGATTATAAAGATATGAGAACTAGTGCACCTTGACTGAGAAACAAAGAAACTCTTTGAGAAAGTAGCTCAACCAGTTTTATGAGAATAAATTTAGGAATTAATTAAAACAGCTTTATAAGACACAGTTTTAGAATAATGTTAGACATATTATTTTATTTAGATTCTTAAGTTTAGAAATTCTTAAGTTTTTAGTTGTATAGGTTTCTGATATGTTTTAAGAATGATTCATAAACGTTAGGATATTTTAAATATAAGATTTAAAGGGACTTTTTTAGATGGGAATTTTAGATTAGAAATAAAGTACAAGTGTACTTTAGGTTAATGATTGGTTAGGAGACTTAGAGTCTGGTTACATAGTTTGGCATTAGTTAATAAGAAAATAGCATATCTTGGGAAAAATAGTAAATCTTGGGAAAATCTGAAAAATGTAAATTAGTGACGTATTTTATTAATGATTCTGTACTTTTAATAATTATATAACTGAAGGACATATCCTGGAAAAATGTAAATTAATGTTACATTTTTTTGTACCCCCAATCATGGTTAAGGAAATGTCATGTCTTGGCAAAGTTTAAAATTATATAATCAATGACGTATTCTGAATCTATAATGATGAGAAAAATTGTAATAAAAGATGACCCAGAGAAAGCTGCATTAGCTCTCTCTCTGGAGATTGCTCGAACGGAACGACTCCTGTCTCATCTTTTCGCCGACGCCACTCATCCTTCAGGACTCCCTGGACCCCGCTAGGGCAGGACCCCTGCACTAGGGGCTCATTACTTCTCCCTCCAGATACCAAGAATGGCTGAAGGTAGCACATGGTTCCTGCCCTCTCTGGGTTTAAGTGTAATTTGGAAAGAGACCCAGTTTATTAGCATTTCATTGTTCTTAATTTGTGGAAACTTTAAACATAAAATTTAAAATCCTCTTCAGAGAAGGTAAAGTTCTTTTTTTGGTGAAGGACATTTATTCTGACATTATATGTTTCATGAAGAGCTGGAAAGTCGAATTAAGTCATATTTAGACAAGAAATTTAGAAGTTTCTAAACCTTTTAAATGCTAGCTTCCACCTGAAATTAAAAGGGAAAAGTTTTTTTTTCCCTGATATTTTTAGGTTTTAGTACCATCAGAAGTATTCATTATTTTTATATTTTTGTTAGGAATGAAAGCTGGTGTTTAAAACATGTTAAAATTCATAATAAATCTTTATATTTACCGTTTAAAAATCCTATGCCTATTTTTCTTTGGAAATAGATTAAAGCTCTTGAAAATGTTAAGAGTGTCTTATTTTGTTATCTGTTGCTATTATAGATAATCTCAGACTTGATAGTTTATAAAGAATAGAAGTTTAGCCAGGCATGGTGGTGCACAACTGTAATCCCAGCTACTCAGGAGGATGAGGCAGGAGGAATGGAAGTTTGAGGCTGGTGTCAGCAATTTAGTGAGACTCTGTCTCCAAAAGACAAAGGTGGGGCCCCTGGGGATGTTGCTCAGTGGTAGAGCATGCCTGGGTTCAATCCTTAGTTTGAGGGGATGGGGGAAGCCAGTTTTACCCATCATGCACAATGTCTAGTACAACTTGGCAGGTGAGTCTCTGTATCCTTATCACTTGGAAGCCCCATCTTGAGATATACCTCCAGAATCACAGAGTTGGGTAAAAGCAGAGTCTGGAGAGACTTGGACCAGTAATTAAATGCTGTGATCCAAAACTGACCCTTGTCATTTGTTCTCATATCTCAGTCAAGAAATAGTTACCTAGACCCATTCAAATATAAGGAGTCTAGAAAATCCTTGTAAAGTTAGGAGAACCAGATTTGGCTGGGCCAGAATAATCACCAGCATAGTTTGCCCTGTCCTTTGAATCACTATCATTTGGTTCATTCTTCTTCATACACAAAATATACTCACCTCATCCCCAAAAAAATAGAACCAAAAATTCCATCCAATCAAGGCATCAAACTCAGAAAGTGTGAACTGTCAGTGACACGTGGCAGTTTCTCTATCAGGTCTGAACTGTATCTAGAGACTGCAACACACCCAATATTCAGTGATGGAACTGAGAATGGTAAGTGCAATAAACTCTCCCACGTGGAAAGGGAAAGAGTGAGAGACACCAAGCCAAAGCAATTCTGAAATCTCATTGAGTAGATGTGTGCACCATACCTGTAATGTGTGGAATTTTGATTTAGGCCCTGATTTCATTCCCTGGAAATTCTTTTCTTGCTGATTGTCTTAATATTTCCTGGACATTCTTTTTTTTTTTTTTTTTTAATTATTCTTCTTGGCCAATTCTAGAAAGGATTTTCGAAATGTATTCTTCTGGAGTCTGAAACCTCCCTCAGTGCACTTCCTGGAATCAATATTTGGAGCCAAAGTTTATATTTATCCCCTCTCCCCCCACCCACCTGGATTGAACTCAAGAGTGCTTTATTACTGAGCTATATACCCCGTTCTTTTTGTATTATATATATATATATATATATATATTTTTTTTTTTTTTTTTTTTTTGAGACAGGGTCTTGCTGGTTGCTGAGGCTGGCTTTGAACTTGTGATCTTCTTGCCTCAGTCTCCCGAATCTCTGGGATTACAAGTGTGTGCCATCATAGATTTTAACTTTTAAGTTCTGGCACCAAAGATTTTAAGATTTTCAATATTCAACAGCTTCTTCAGACAGTCTTTTACCCATTTAATGGTCTTGATACTCTTGTTGAAAATTATTTGACCATATGTATTAGTCAGGGTTCTTCAGAGGAACAGAACCATTAGGAAATACATAGATACTTAGAAAGAGATTTCTTGTGAGGGACTGGCTCATGAAGAGAAGTTGCATGATCTATTTGCAAGCTGGAGTCCTGGAAAAGCTGGTCCTGTAATTCCAGTCTGAGTCTGAAGGCCCAAGAATCACAACTGCTAGTGTCTGAGAGCAGGGGAGGGATGTTCCTGCTCCAGAAGGAAGAATGTATTTACCCATCTTCTACCTTTTTGTCCTCAACAGATTGGATGATGCCTATCTATATTCGTGAGGGTGGATCCTTTTTACTTCAGTTTTCCAATTCAATTGCCAATCTCTCCTAGAAACATTCACAGACATACCTAGAAATAACATTTTACTGGGCATTCTCTAGCCCAGTCAAATTGACACATTAACTATTACATGTGTCGTCAGCTTTTCATTTTATATCATTAAATTTTAGATTATTATTAGGCCATTCAAATGGGTACCTGAATATATGAATATGGAGATAAACTATAAATTTTGTGTAAATCTACCTCATTCTGTTTTAAAATCTTCATAGCCTCATGTCTTGTAGAGATACCATCATCTATACAATAGAGAGCTCCATTCATTGAGTGGATCAGTTTTTAAAAGAAATTATTATTACCTGTGTAGCAAGAAACATACAATTAAAAATTTTATACAACATCTTAGTATCACTTGCTACTTTCACTTCAGGTTCACTACTAAAAATGAATTGCTAAGTCTAAGGATATGTGCATTTTATTTCTTGCATTTTATGTGTTCATAGTGTAGAATTGAGAAGGTGTTACATTTTCCTAAGCCATCATAAAGGTCACACTTCTTTAACAACAACAACAACAACAAGGTTATCAAGAGAAAAAGCATTATTTATTTATTAAAAGTTTTATGTGACAGGAGCATTCAGAATTGAAGACCCAGAGAAAACTATTTTTATGCTTATGTTGATGAAGGACAGCTGTGCAGAAACGTGACTGCATCAAAGGTATTATCTAACGATAACAGACTGGCCCAATACCAGGGGCCCAGCAAGGCGGTTCAGATTCTTCTTGGTTTCCCTGTGTAGCATTCCTTCGTCCTGGGTATAGGGCAGGACTTCTCTAGAACGAGGGTCTTCAAGGCAACAGGGAGAAGGCGTAGAGTGACTTTCTAGGTTCAATGGCTTGTTTATTGGGGGCGCGGGGGGCGGCATTCTAGTTTCCTTCACCCACCTGGAAGAAGAGAAATTCCGGTTTCTTTGATTGGCTAAGGGCAGAAAAGGGGAAGGATACAGGAGGGCCAAGGAGGGCCCAGGAGGGCCCAGGAAGAGACTCTTTTGACCGAAGTCCTTCATTTAAAGTACTCAGCATACTGAGCCATGTTGGAGTGCTGTGGTCTGAGATCCCTCTATAGGGGTCAAAATCCTTCAAAATGTTCCCACGACTTGCAACAACATTGATGTTCTTTACAGACCGGCTAACGCTGGGAAAAATGGAATCGCGTTGTGATTTCAATGTGTATGTCTTTATTAGGGATAAGCCCAAGCATCTTCACATTGGCCATCCACTGGCCTTTTTCGTGTTCTCTTTAATTTTACTTTGAACTTGTTACCTATGTGGATTCCCTTTGCCCCAAGAGCCAGACTCAGAAATCCAGCACTGCCTGAATCCAATTCTACAGCAAAGTTTAATATTTTTCATAGACATCATTTATGTTGACATTTTATATTTGCATATAGCTGGTCAGCTCCCTATTGACAGGGACTATGCTTTTCATCCTGTGTATTTGTCAATCTGGGAGAAGAGACCACCCAGGAATACTATAGGGGGAATACTGAGGGTTCCGAAGGAGCATCCAGAGTCCATTGAGTGCAGGACTGACGAATCATTGGGAGAATCCCTAAATTTCTGCCAGGGAATCTCCGGGCCTGTCTTTGAAAGCGTGCTTTCAAAAGTTGCAAAACTACGGAGGATGTCTGGTCTGGTGCCAGCGGCCCTTCCAAGTCCTGGCTCCCACCTAGAGGCCACCCGCTACAGAACAGCCATGTGGGATGGAAAGGCCGCCTTTTTCTTGTATTGTCTCCAAGTGAGCGGGAACAAAAAAACGAAACCAAAACCAGCCTGCCGGGCCCTCTGCACCGCCGGCGCTCCGCTGGGTTTGGGGCTTCCTCGCGGCCCCCAAGGGCGCGTCTCTCCTCCACCATGGCAAGTCATTTTTCTTGGGGTTTTGTGGTGCAGGGGAGTGCCCATGCCGTCGCCTAGGTCCCCCAAGTGGGCGCAGAACCCCTCGGGCAGGTCCAGGGTGCGGGGCTGGGCTGGAGGCCCCGGGGCGGCCAAGAGCCACCAATCCCCGCCGCCGGTCAACCCCAGATCTCTGCACCTGCCCCTGCTGCGACGCTGCGCGTTACTGAAATTAACCTCGGGCTGCGAGAGGAAGGGCCCAGGCACAGGCTGCGACCTCCTGCGCCCACTGCCCCGCACCGCAGTTTCGAGGAGGAGTTGCTTTGCAGGCTGTAGGGATCAAACTGTTGTCCTCCCACGATTCGGGGGTGGGGGTTGGGGGCGAGCAAAAGTGGACAGATTACCCAGAAATGAAGGTTACAGCTTCTTTTGGAAAGAGCTAGTTAAGAACGGATTCAACCAAGGACACAAGTTAGGGAGGCATCCTGAAGTCTCTCCTGGTGCGAATTCGCTTTTGTGGTTTTGTGGTCTTAGTTCTTTATCCAGAGACACAAAGGGCTCAGTGTTTTCACCATCTGTGCTGGCTAGGAACAACAGACAGCAAATTCAAGACTGAGCTGCGCGCGCGTACGTGTGTGTGTGTGTGTGTGTGTGTGTGTGTGTGTTCCTCTATCAAGCGTTTGAAACTGTGGCAGAGCCTTTACTTTCTGATCTGAAATCCCCGAGTCCTGGTAATGTAAAAGCAATTGTGAGATGCAAATGTGCTTTTGTTTACCTGGTGAGAGTAAAGGTATAGTCATTGAAAATAAATAACTGATTTTGAGAAAAGAAATCTAAGTAAACGCAGTGAATGAATCTTCCAATTATTTCCTAGTCCCTTACTTAAAAAAAAAATAGTTTTCTTTATACCTTTTTGGATCCTGACGCCCAAAAGTTTCTTAAAAGATAACTATGATACGGGAAAAAGTGCTATCACCTTAATATCGCTTGACTTCAATGCTGTTCTTGTTTCAAAATCCTTGAAAGGAATTTCTTTCTCCAGGTTATTTCTTTTTTCTCCCTAATCGTGGATAGAAGAGATTAGTTATTCTCATTGTTCATAACTGTCCTCACCAGAATTATATATATGTTAGCAATACTTTCTCAGACATATGAAAGAAAGTTAAGGAAGAATCCTGGCAGGTCATTGAAATAAATTACAAGATAATTTATAAAAATTCTTAAATTGTTAGAAAACAAAAGTCTTTTGTTTTCTCTCCTAAAAATACCAGCTCAGAAAGTTCCTTTGATTAAATTATGTACAGACATTTGGAGGAAGAAATATGGTATTAGTATTGATGAGGGCATAGAGGTAGAGTGATTTTTTGAATTTAAAGTGATTGATAAATTTTCTTTGACATTGATGCAGAGCAAAAAAGAAATTAATTCTCTATCCACTGACACACTGAGGCTGGTGGGGGTTGTTAGAGCAGGATGTCATATCATTACAAATCTCAAGAAATAGGGTTTTCTGAAAAATTTAAAAAAATCTTTTCAGTCATTTTTTTTACCCCTCTCTTGTAAGGGAGAATTGTCTTGGGGAAATTGCATTGTACCACTTGGGAATAGGTTGCCAATAGGCACACTTACCATCTGGTATATTTTTGCTGTTTCATTGTACAATCTAGATAAATGATTTTCATCCATAAAAGTATCTCCTAAAACAAATAGCCAATAGAGTTTTTCTCATTTTATTTTCTGGAGACATTCCCTTTGTTCTATATATGTATCAACATGAGCCAGTTTCATGCCTCCCGCCTTGCCCAGCTTTTTCTTGGTATCTTTGTCTCATCAATTCAAATTTGACCTCAGCCTTAAAGACCTCTCTTTTGTGGAGCCTTTTTCAGACTCCATTAGCCAGAATTAATTAATCTTGCTTTCTAATTTTGGATGGCATTTATTGTAATTTTAGAATTTTATTGTGAATGGTCTGTGTCCTTCTAAAATAGTGTGTTGGACTCCTTCCTCCTTAAAGCAATAGATCTACTTCTTTCATGAATACCAAGCTCTTTTGAAAAGATTTATTTATGTGTCTGCCTCCTCTTTCATGTATAGACCCTCCCGACCTCCACCCTTTTTTATACTCTTAATCCTAAAGCCTATCTAAGTGCCCCACACATAACGATTTACATTTTTGTGGGGGAACTGAATTTCATGGCAAGGGGCAAATTTTATTTCTTTGTATGCATCATTATTTCTGAAACCTAGCATATTGCCAGGCATGGAACACATATTTAATAATACAGTATTTGCTAACTGATTAGCTAATTGACAAAAATATTCTAAAAAATTCAGGTGCATTCAGATGCACCTGATTTAAAGTGAACTAAAATTCACTTCATCAGACAGGCACATTTTGCTACTTTATTTCACGAGCTGCCAGCTGAATACCAGAGATGCCCTGAGTGCATATGCTGGGGCAGTCAACATTGACTTAATCATTTTCTGTCAAATCCTACTATGATAAATAAGGATCTCACTCAGGTAACTTCTGACTTCTTTCTTTGCCTTTTAAGTTTGAAAGTAATGTAATATTATTTTTTATTCTTCTTTTACTTCTTCTATGGATTATTTTTGTAACTTCTGTAAAGGACTTAAAATGGGGGTACTATTACATGATTCTCTTCAGTGTGGGAGATTTTTCTATATTTTTTCTCAACTGCTGTTACCTCTTTATTGACAAAGTTGTGTATTTTCATTTTATTCTGTAACCATTATTTAAGTCTTTGATATTTTGAAGACAGCAAGTTCAGTTGAAAAGTTAAAAACCAATAATACTGCATTGTAAATAGTAAATGCTGTTTATAGTGGGGCTTCATTGCATGCTGTGATTACTTTTTCTCTTTTTGGTCTAATATCATGTGTATTTTTCCTTTTCTATGTACAGGAAAATGTTTCTAGTGGCTGGGTGAAATGGATTTCCCTTTTTCTTTTTGTTTGCTATAATTTACTCAAAATCATGCCACACTGTAGTTTGTTTATGATCGTTAGGCTGGGGCTTCTTTAAATGCCAGAAACAGGAGGAGGACTTGTCCACACTGGCTGGTCAAGTTTTCTCTAGAGTGTTCATTTAGTTCCCCCCTTCCCATCCCCCTCTCCCTCCTATCCCCCTTTTGACCCCCTCTTCCCCTTGCTCTTACTCTTTTCCTTCTTCTTCAGTAAAATAATTCTATTTCCCACCATGTTCTGCACCAGCTGCCTTTGTCAGAGTATGTTCTGTGTAGAAAGGTTAGGAGCTGGTAACATGGGAGACACTGGAGCAGTTTTTTTTTAACCAATAGCCTTTCAACAACATCTTGTTTGTTTATCATTTCTGTGATTCTGCTGTGCCTGTTGTCATCATTGGCCCTGCAACATCCATTTGCTTATTCCAGGTTAGCTGCTGCTCTCTGTCATAGTCTTCCATATACTTTTGTGTTTTTTCAGTCTTTCAGAAATTTATTGAAATCTCCGACACTGATTGCTTCATTGTAACTGAGTTTATTCTTTTATTTTCATCTTAAGGAGTTCTTGGGATGGACAGGACACTGTTTGTGTGCTTAAGCTCTTTTCTTACCTCTGGGGAGGCCAGAAGTAGTTTGCCAATCCCTGTGGAATCGGATTCTAAGTACAGAGTCCTGTGGACTGAGAGTCCTGAGCTCCTGAGTGGTCTATTCACCATGGTTCAGGCCCTTGGGCCATCCTGTCCACCCTCAGGTAATTCTTTTGTTGCACAGGCTGGACTAACTGTGTAAGCATTGGGAGAAGTTCACAAATCCACTTCCCTAAATGGGATTGGGGAGCAAATGAAGGCATTATGTGGATAATTCAAGAAGTTCAAAGAGAGTGAACCCAGCACAGTTGGTACTCTGTGCCCAGCCCGGTGGCTACAATAGCATGCACTCTTTCTAAGGCTGGATTTAATTTCAGATACGTCTGCAAGGTGGGATTTACTCCACCACAGTATCCATGTTACTCCTGGGGTTTTGTTTTTTTAATGGTAATTTCCCCCTGATTCTGATAATAAAAGGGATGTATTTTTTACTAGCTTATTGACTTGGGAATCTACAATCCATAAAAAATAGTCACTTCCACATTACTGTATTTTGTGACTATTTGATTATCTTATTTTACATTTTAATTTTTGAAATTTATATTTCCTTTTTAAATTATTTTTAGGCTTTCCTAAAATGAACAATTAATCAACATTTCCACTTATTAAAAAAAATAAAGGGATCATTTTTACATTTAACTTTCAAATTTGGCTATAATTTATGTTAGTAGATGGTATAAAGCAAAGATCTATTCCATTTTTAAAAATTATCTACTAGTTACACTGTTGCCTTTATTGAGTAAGATATTGTCTTCTATTTTATGTGATGGTACTTTCATTAAGTATATTTTAAAATATATTCATAATATAACTGTTTCTCTTATAAGCATTAGTTTTGACTTTCAAGAAATACAAATCTTCTGAAAGAACTATTGTAGTCGCTGGTCTCCCTTTTGGCTTTTTAAAAATTCTTTTTATTTTTTAAAACCTTTTTTTTTTTTTTCCCCTTGTACCAGGGATTGAACCCAGGGGTGCTTTACCACTAAGCCATATCCTCAGCCCCTTTCCTGTTTTATTTTGGGACAGGGTCTCGCTATGTTGCTCAGGCCCTCACTATGTTGATGAGGCTGGCTTTAAACTCACAATGCTCCTGCCTTAACCTCCCAAGTCGCTGGGATTACAGGTGTGGGCCACCACACCTGGCTAAAAATTTTTAGTGCATTGTAGTCATGCATAATAGTGGGGCTCCTTTTGACATATTCATAAGTGCTTAGAGCATAGTTTTCTCCATCTCAATCCCCAGTACTATCATCTTCTTCCTCTACTCTATTGGTCTTCCTTATATGTATTTATTTTTTATTTGATGCATTACCATTATATATAAGTTGGAACGCATTGTGATACAATCATGCATGCACATGGCATAATTTGGTCAACTCTATGCACCAGTTCTTTCCTTTGCCTTCCCTCCTTTCTCCCACTTTTTTTTTTAACTTTATGTGACCCCACTTTTCATTAAGTAGAGCTTGTATTTTTAAATAGTATTCTACTTTTTCTCTTACAGGCATCAGTTTCGAATGTCAAGAAATCCAGAGCTCTTGAAAGAACCATTGTCGTTGCTGGTCTTCCTGTTGGCCTTTTGAGTGATCAGTTGCTGACTACATTAGTGGAGACTTACTTCCGAGACGTTAAAAATGAGGGTGGAGATATTGAAGATGTGATATATCCAACAAGAACCAAAGGAGTTGCATATGTAATATTCAAAGAAAAGAAAGGTATTTTCAAATCAAAGTTTTATAATTTGAGAAATACTTAGTGAAATTAAAATTAGATTTTGTTGAAATGATTCATGGATAAATAAGATTTGAAGTAGCTTTAAATTATTCTATTCTGAACATAAAACTGGCCAACATTGTATGTATGAAAATGACTCATGATAAAAAGTAACTGGTAAATTTTGAAAACTGTTAGTAACTGGCAAATTTTTGTAAACTTCTTCTTTTCCTATACTTTAAAGTATCTTAGGATAAAAGTTTTATAGAAAACTTGCAAAATGCAGAAAAACGTAGACAATCCCCCTGCTTAAATGATATATAATTCCATAAACAAGATAACTACTTTGGGACTTTAAGGTGGCTTCAATACAATACAATTATACCCTTTGCTGTTCTGTGTTCAAACTATCATATGGATATTCTAACATAGTATTTGCTTTATTACTTACCAAATTGAATTGAGAAATACAGTTTGGATCTGAGATAAGATGGAGCCATCCTGTTCCCTAGCCCCATCCCTGACATAGGGGATAGATACAGTTGGGTCTGCAGAGGACACTAACTTGCTATGAAAAAGTATATGGGAGAAGAGAAAGAAAACATGATGGATGGTGCTATTTAAATAGAGTGGCTAGGAAAACACTTTTAAAAAGAATATATAATTTGGTGGTGCTGGGAATCAAACCCAAGGCCTTGTACATGCTAGAGGTAAGTGCTCTACTGCTGATCTATATCCACAGTCCTGATGTCATATGTTTAGGTGACATTTGAGCAGGGACCTGAATGAAGTAAGAAAATGAATCATGCAGATAAATGGAAAAAACATTCCAGACTAGGTGAAGGACAGGTAGAAATTCCACAGGGGAAACATGCTGGTTGTTTAGAGGAATACCAAGGAGGCCTGTGTGGCTGGAGTTTTATGAGATTGGGCTCTGTGTGTGTGTGTGTGTGTGTGTGTGTGTACAATAGATGTGGTTAGACTGGGAGCTGGGGCCAGTTTTTGCTAAGTAGCTATGGGTCAAGGCAGGATGTCTGGATTTTATTCTTGTAGAGGATCCAATTCTGAGCAGAGGATTGACAAAACAGGACTGCCTTTTCTCAATGGTCATACTGGTCGCTGTGTGAGGAACAGGAGATATTAGTCATTGCTGCTTTGGAGAGGTGCAGTAGGGCAGCTGATGGGCACTTGTGGATATTTGTGAATTTTTGAGTTGGGAAGATTGAATGGAGTATGTTCAGGAGGGGGATAATTATCAATTTGATTTTGGGTCATTGAAGCACTTATTAAGATAATGGAGCAGAGATAAAATTTTGGAAGCAATGTATATAAGGTTGGTGTCTAAAGCTGTGGGAAGTGTTGAATTGACTGGGAGGTAGACATAGGTTAGTAAAGAAGTTTGAGGACTGAGGTCTGGGGCTTTCTAACATCTAGAGAGTGGGAAAATATGGAGAATTAGCAAAGGAGCCAGTGAATTAGGAGGAAAACCAGGACAGTGTGGAACCCTGGATTCATAGACATGAGAGTTTATGTGACCAGTATTAGTAGAGTGGGGGATTTACTCTTGGGTTTTTGTTCTCTATTCATGTATGTACTGTGCTTGTGTGTGTGTGTGTGTGTTTTGGCATTGGGAATTTAACCCAGGGGTTAATTGGGAATTTAACCCTGCTTTACCACTGAGCTACTTCTCCATCCCTTTTTATTTTTTATTTTGAGACAGGGTCTTGCTAAGTTGCTTAGGGCTTTGCTAAGTTGCTGAGGTTGGCCTCGAACTTCCTCAGCCTCCTGAATTGCTGTGCCTGGCCTATGTGTGTTTTAAAAGAAATATGATGGGCTGGGGATGTGGCTCAAGCGGTAGCGTACTCGCCTGGCATGCATGCGGCCCAGATTTGATCCTCAGCACCACATACAAACAAAGATGTTGTGTTTGCTGAAAACTTAAAAAAAAAAAATTAAAAAATTCTCTCTCTCTCTTTAAAAAAATAAAAGAAATATGATTAAGAACATATTAATACATGAAATTAACTTTAATATGTTAAAATGAAAGGAAAAAGTTATTTAAATGTTGGATTTAGAGGAAAAATATAGGAAAAACTCAGACTTTCTAAAGAAACGAATCAAATTTCTCTATTTTTAGGAGTTAAAGTAATTATTAGTGTTATGCCACAAACACTTTTGATGTTAATGTTTCCACTTAGTTGCAGAGAATGTTGTCAGACAAAAGAAACACCATCTAGCAATTCAGAAGACGGTACATGCTGAACTCACAGTCTCTCACTTTAGTGAAAAGGTAAGGCGTGAGCTGAGGGTGTGCTGGGAGTTCTGGGTCCCGTTTGTCCTGTGAAGTCTTTCCTGTGTAAAGAAACACACAGTGCTCTCACCTCATGGATTCAGCTCTCTAACCTGAGTCATGTCAGTACAAAAGACCAAACCTGCTTCTTGAAGTTTTTGCTTTTATATTTCTCTGTGTCCTACTTAATGCTTTTAAAGTGACAGTGAGCTTTTGGGTTATTATAGATAACATCAGGTACCTACCTAGAGATTTATTTTGGAGAAAAAATTAAGATGCACACTAAAAGGGAGTTTTGAAAGGGCAGGAAGGGTAGAAATAAGAGAAGTGAAAAATTTGAAGTGTTGGTTTATAAACCATATTCTGCAAGAAACCTGGCATTCTCTGTAACCATGTGATGAACTTCAAACTGGAAGGGAAGGGTGGGGATGACTCTAGAGGGACTTATGGAGCGGAACTAGAACAGTTTATACCTATGTGTTCTGCGTGAGACTTTGTTTCTTTTTTTTTTTAATTTTTATTGTTGGTTGTTCAAAACATTACATAGTTCTTGATATATCCATATTTCACACTTTGATTCAAGTGGGTTATGAACTCCCATTTTTACCCCGTATACAGATTGCAGAATCACATCAGTTACACATCCATTGATTGAGACTTTGTTTCAAAAGAGCAATTTGCCTCTAAAAATGATGTGACTGCCTCTGTTTTAGGGTATGTAACAAGGGACTCTGAATCTCAAACTGAACAGCCTGGGTACCACGGATGGGCTGCCTGGGTGTGAGAAGCCAGGAAGTCTGGGTTTGGCCATTAGAGTCTGATTTAAAGTGACTGCATGATAAGAAGTTGGTAAAAAAAATGAATTTGTTTATGTTTCTTTGCCTCAGTAGGCAGTGCTATTTTAATTTTTCTTTTTAATTTTAGGTCTTCAGCTCTGTGAAAGCTACCCTTGATCTTTCTGTTTTTCGTGGTCAAATTATCCTGGAAAGCCTGGTAATAGACCTGAAAAAGAAAATCCCAACTTTAAACTTCAGTCCCTTGGGACCTGGAGGAAGAATATCTGTGGAAGGACCCTTTCTGGCTATCAAGAAGCTCAAAGAGTCTTTGCTATCAAAAGCAAGTTCTCTTTTAGAAAAAAACAGGAATGTTATGACTGAAGGGAGAAAACAGAACAGACAAAGCCCCCAAAAGAGTCTACAGAGCAGTGATAACTTGGTGGAGACGCTCAGGCCCTTAGTACCTGAAACTGTTAGAAGCTCAGAAATGCTTGTGATGGACACAGATGTTTTCCTTTACCTGAAATGGAAGTGTGGGTTTTATGAAATCACACTGAACAAATTTAATATTCTAAGTCAGGAGAGGGTGGATGGTGACGTCACCACTATTTGTCTAGCAAGTGCTCAAGGTGATTCTGGGCCAAACAGTGCACAGCATGTAAAGGAGCTCATTGAGGAATGGGCTCAGGGTCTTCACTCTGAGCTTAGGAAAGAGACATTCACTTTGGAAGGAAAGGGAAATAGAGAGAAGAGAAATATTGAACGGGCATGTGAACAACTACAATCAAGATACCTTAGGGTTCTGATTAATTTTCATAAGACACACATTGACATTATAGGTTCTTCTCCTGACACTTACCTATTTAAAAAAGAGGTCATGAAATTAATAGGGCAAAAGGTTAGTTAATAAAATCTCAGTCATAGATGTTAATAGTGCCCTTCCCTTACTGAGTAGTGACTATACCATCCATGTACCACTCTATCTAGCTCACATTTCACCTTTGGTCACCATCTTTCTTTGTGAGCATTACTATCCTTATGTTGTAGGGGAAGAAACTAGGATTTGGGGAAATTAAAACTCTTGTGAATTTATTCAGCTAACAAGGAATGAGACTGGAAACCTAGGAATGGGGACCTAGTCTATCTGATTACAAAGATAATATCTAAATAAAACTTTGGAAAAACTAAACTTCCAAGAAATCTCATATTCTCTGGAAATCCAAATTATTAGAAAAGAAGTAGCCTTAACACATGAGAGTTTGGATGATCATTATGCCTGTTGGCAATTTGTTAATAGTTACCAAGTCTGTATTTACTCATAGAATTAGAATGATATCAAAAAACTTGGGAAACTACTTGGAAAGTATATATATATATATATATATATATATATATATATATATATATCACATATATATTATATATTACTATATATATTTCTGAATTCCATTTTTATGAGTTTGCTGGATAGGTGAGGCAGTTCTGCTATTACTTATTTGGCTTATGTGCTTTTATAAAATGTTAGTTCTCCTGTTAAGTTGGGAATTTTGAATGAAATCTACAATTGCTATTTACATGCTCGTTTTCTTAGATGGGATTATACCCAGATAAGCTATATAAGTTGAAAATATTGTAAGTCTAAAATGTGTTTAATACATGGAACTCACTGAACATCCTGTGTAGAAACACAGCACACCGAAGATTTGCCTTCGTGATCACATGGCCAACTGGGAGCTGTGACTCACCACAGCTGCCCAGTATCACTCGAAAATATGGCACTGAATATTGTTAGTAAATCAAAATTCAAAATTCAAAATATAGTTTTACTGAATGCATATCAGTTTTATGCCAATGTAAAGTAAAAATTTGTAGAAAAATTAAAAATTGAAAGCTGAACAATTGTTAAGTCTACGTCTGTATTCTTAACATCTGTGATCTTATTCAAATGCTACTACTTTGATGATATAATTATAAAATAAAAAAAGAAAAAGCCACAATGATTTATTTCAAAGTCTTTAACTTCCTTAAATTTAACTTCAGATTAAATTGATTTTAAGTATCTGGGCCACTGCATAGATCTTCCTAGTTGCTCATCTCAAACTAAACAACGTGATTATAATCGTTCAAACTATTGTGTCAGTAGAAAAAGAATAAGAAAAATGTCCCTTCATTTTCCTTCGTCATCTAAATTCTAAATGTGTAAATAATTTCCGTTTCCTTAAATAGTGTATTTCTGACACCAAAAGTGTAGGTAACAAAAGCAAAAAACTGACAGATGGCACTACATCAAATTTAAAAACATTTTTGTGCATCAAAGGACACAATCAACAGAGTAAAAAGAGCTATTCAGCCAGTTCAGACAGCTATAACGAAAATTTCCGGGTGACTTAAACAATAGATGCTTATTTCTTACAGTTTTAGAGACTGAGGGACTGGAATCTGAGAGCAGGGAAGGCATGGTTGGATCCTGAGGAGAACTCCATTCCTGAAGAGAGGAAACATCTCTCTTAGAGGGGCTCTTCTCCATCATGCTATACTTTCATGCCTTAATTACCTCCTGAAGGCCCCACCTCCAATTATCACATCAGGGATTAGAGTTTCCACAGATGAATTTTGGGGGTACACAAACATTTAGTTCATAGCATTCTATCCCTGGCCCTCCAAAATTCATGTCATTGTTAAGTGCCAAATACCTTTATTCTATCCCAACAGCCCCAGACATGAACTGATTCTAGCATCAGCTCTAATAGTCTAATATCCAAAGTTTCATCTAAGATATCACCTGAATCAGATACTGGTGAGACTTGGGTGCAATTCAATCTGTGCAAAAATCTTGCCCATGTATGAAGCTAACAAGTTTTTGGGCTTCCAAACTATAATGTTGGGAAGGGGATAAGACAGATAATCCTGTTCTAAAGGGAGAAACAGGAAAGAAGAAAGAGGTTATGGGTCTCAAGCAAGTTGAAAACCTGGCAAGGTGAACTGCATGAAAATAATCTTGGATTCAATGCAGGCTCACTGGGATCACCATGTGCAAGCCCTTACCAGAGAGCAAACCTACTAGTTATTTGATCTTGGATTTCTAGCCTCCGGAAGTGTGAGCAATAAATTTCTGTTGTTTATAAGCAACCTAGTCTAGTATTTTGTTATAGCAGCCTGAACAGACCAAGTTAGAGGCAGAGAGTGGAGTGATACAACAATAGCCAAGGATCTGCAAGGGTTGCCGGGAGCCACCAGGAGTGGCAGGAGGCAAGGGAAGGTTTCTCTGGAGCCTTCACAAACAGAGTGGCCCTGCTGACATTGATTTTATAATTCTAGCCTTCAGAACTATGAGAGAATATATTTCTGTTGCTTTAAGCCACCAGTTTGTAGTAATTTGTATGGCAGCCCTAGGAAATGAATAAACCTGACTTTAAAAAAAAAAGATGATTTTGGGTGTGGGTTTCTGATGTATACTCCTATATCAACCTTATCCTTTAGGGCAGAAACTTCTTTTTCTCTTTTGTTCATCCCCAGTTTATAACAGAGCAGCTGGCATATAGTAGGCATTCCTACTTGTGAATATATGCGAATACTTGTGAAATATATAAATTACTTTTTTTAATATCTATAGAACTTAACACAGGGGTTGGCACTTAATAAGCATTTAATAAATGGGTGTTTATTGGGTCCAAGTATTTTCTGTCTCTTTTGTGCTATATAGTCTAACTTATCATCATCATAATAGTGTTAATATTAATTTCCTTTCCCTTTTTAGGATGGGTTTACATTTTTTCTAGTACTGTTTTCTCCAATGTAGGAAATTCTCTCTAGAAAGACAAACTCAAGTTTAATATGCCTTGTCAAGCAGGTTGGTCAGTAATTGCTGCTGGTAGAAAGGCACAAGGTGTCTTTCCTGGACGTGCCTGGGGTGCTTCTCTCCACTTTGTCTATCTCTTGACTAGATTGCACAGGGAAACAAAAAGATATTTGATAATTATGGAGAATCTCTGGGTCTGTCAACTCTGGTATCTGGTTATTTTCAGCTATTAAGAGGTCACTCAGGAATTCTTAAGGTTGATAAGGACTCTACCCATTAATGCATGGTACTTAAAACATTTTACTAGTAGAAAATACTGTGTGAGAATTAGAATGGATCCTACTGTCATGTATAACTAAGAAGAACCAAGAAAAAAAAAAAAGAAAAAGAAAAAGAAAAAGAAAATAGTGTATAGTAGGTGTAAGTCTGTTGAGACTGTCCTCTAGTTAACACATTTCAAATAATGCTGACAAAAGCAAGAGGGGTGGAATATACATCCTTTTGATGTTTTTAAATGAGATTTAATATTGGAGGAAATTAGCCTAGTAAGTATTTTACTGATTCAGTGCTATAAAAGTGTTGACTTAAAGAATAGGGAATTCTAGAGGTGGATGGGAGGAGGAATATAGAGCATTATATAATATGTCCCCTCTCCCCCCTTTTCTTGAGAAAGCTGCCTGTGGTGAAGGCGATCCTCCACTTACTGTCTTGACAGGGTCACAGTGAGAAAAAGTGTTGGCAAAGCCGCTCTCCCACTGTCTTGACAGGGTCACAGTGAGGATGAATGCTGGCAAAGCCACGCTGGTTGGTGGGAAACCGAAACCACGAGACCCTTTTTTATGTAATTGGGACTTTGCATTTTCATGCTTATGTTTCTGACAGGAGGCATGAGTATGTTAAATGCCAAACAAATTAAATTTCAGATGGCTAGAACATAACAGGTAGTTCATGCCTTGGAGGCTGTTCTACTACCCCTCAGCATATCAAGGACAAAGTAGAAGGCTGTTCTTCTATCTCAGTACATTGTGGATAAACCTGATAATGGACAACAATCATCCTTTGAAAGGTCATGAGAATTTTAGGCACCACATTGATTATATCAACTAGAACCCAAGCCCATATTTCCGGTCTCTTAGAAAACCTAATCAGTATGCTTATTTCACAAAGTTCACCACATGCAGTTTCATTTTAACATTTAGGAAAGTTATATTATACAATTAGGAAAGTTAAAACATATAAAGATATATTTTTCTCTTTTTATAAACCCTTTCTTACTTTACATAGGGAAATATGATGAGCATAGTTAATATTGGTGGAAAGTGGATTGATTTTTAGAACTTACTTTCTATTGAGAAAGATTATAAAGATATGAGAACTAGTGCACCTTGACTGAGAAACAAAGAAACTCTTTGAGAAAGTAGCTCAACTAGTTTTATGAGAATAAATTTAGGAATTAATTAAAACAGCTTTATAAGACACAATTTTAGAATAATGTTAGAAATATTATTTTATTTAGATTCTTAAGTTTAGAAATTCTTAAGTTTTTAGTTGTATAGGTTTCTGATATGTTTTAAGAATGATTCATAAACTTTAGGATATTTTAAATACAAGATTTAAAGGGGCTTTTTTAGATGGGAATTTTAGATTAGAAATAAAGTACAAGTGTACTTTAGGTTAATGATTGGTTAGGAGACTTAGAGTCTGGTTTGGCATTAGTTAATAAGAAAATAGCATATTTTGGGAAAAATAGTAAATCTTGGGAAAATCTGAAAAATGTAAATTAGTGATGTATTTTATTAATGATTCTGTACTTTTAATAATTATATAACTAAAGGACATATCCTGGAAAAATGTAAATTAATGTTACATTTTTTGTACCCCCAATCATGGTTAAGGAAATGTCATGTCTTGGCAAAGTTTTAAATTATATGATCAATGACATATTCTGAATCTATAATGATGAGAAAAATTGTGATAAAAGATGACCCAGAGAAAGCTGCATTAGCTCTCTCTCTGGAGATTGCTCCAACGGAACGACTCCTGTCTCATCTTTTCGCCGATGCCACTCATCCTTCAGGACTCCCTGGACCCCGCTAGGGCAGGACCCCGGCATGCCTGAAATAAATAATAGGTGATTTCATGAGAGGAATAAAGGAGCTCATCATTTCCAAGGGATGCATACGAAGGTCAGGAGGAGCAACTTCCTTCTGATGAAGACGGATATTTATGGATTGTCTATAAAGTTGGTTAAAATTTCTTATCCTTCTTCCTTTTATAGAGGCTGACTCTTAGAGTGAAACCTATATATTTTCCTTCCCTCATCTCTACATAGCAGGTATTTTGAATTTTATCTCCAGACCACCCCTTGTATTTGTTTCTTCTTTTCCAATCTCTATGACTCTTATTAGCTCATGCTTGGGTTATTGCAGTGTCCTTCTAACTGGTCTTCCTATCTTGGCTCTGAAATGATCAGTGGTATTTGGGAGGATTAAACTGATTCACTGGTGTTAATCATCCTACCTTGAAATTTCATTGCAACATTTAATCTTATATTCCTGTTCTTTTCC